TACCTTCAAGCCTTTAAGACCCCAGACACTATACCTCGTGGTTGCATAGGCTGGTGTGCTTCTTCCATGTGGGCTTTGTTGCTTCTGAGCTTGATGGCCGCTTGATTACCTTCAAATTATTTAATTTCCTATTTAATAGGAAAACTCTGAGCACAGGCCCTAAATTTACCTGAGATGCCCTGGCCATGTTGAATTATTCAATTCAGATGACAAAGTTATTCTCTTCCTACCATCTACTTATTTAAAACACCTAATTCCACAAAGGAGTTTTAAAGGCATCCATTTTCCTCGCTTCTGCATTTTTCTTTGTTGGTTAGTAAACTGCATACACTTGCCTGGGAATAAGTCCTCTCTGAGCTTATTGTAGACACAGGAGAGCCATTACGTATATCCTTTCCAATTAGAGACATAAGAGAGATTGGTCTTACAGAAGAGCAGATAATAATAATAGATTATGTTCTTAAGTATTATTTTCTTTCTAGTTAATTTTTACCTTACCTTATCAGGCAAATATTGATTACATACTTGAGGGAAAAATAAGAAAGAAGAACATGATTTTTTAATTAAAATTAGATACTTGATTTAGAAAACTTCACTTCTAGTTTTAAAGTAGATGAGAAAAGTAAAGAAACAATGAAAAATGTATCCGGATTGTTGATCTGCGTCAGCACCACAGCCGTCTCCATTTATTCATTTATCACTGATGGTAGTCAAATTCGTTTATCACCGTTGGCAGTAAAAACCCTCAGCTTATGGTAGCTTTAGATCATTCTGCCATAGTGGAAAGAAATGTTTTATATCATAGTGTTCACAGGCATACACATTATTCCTCAAAGTTATATAGTACACACTAATCTCAGGAATTCCGTGTTACATGAATGCTGCTTATATATTTTCATATACTAAATTGTCGTTTTTAAGCAGATAACTAATTTATATGTGCATGCAATCTGTCTTGACAAGGTGTTCAAAGGTAAAGAATTTCCCAGCACGCGTGGAAAATTTCCCCAATCAGAGCTGAAAGAGCTGTGTGCTCACTTCTAGATGCAATGCTAGTGAGAGACAGCATGCAACGCAACTCACAATACTGCCCCATCTTCCAAAATCTCTTAGTAGATTTTAGCATGGTCTATTGTACAATGGAATGAAAAGGAACTTTCTTCACTCACTAAATTAGAATTAGATATAATATTTTTCCTACAACTTGCATGTTAAATTTATCCTGCATTTTAAAAATATTAATTTGGGATTCGTGAGTGGAAATTAGCTGTATTAGACAATAATTTCTTTTTTTTCCAGGCACTTGCCCCACTTTCAAAGTGGTTTGACTATTTATCTTCTAATAGTCACTGCTATTTTCAAGGCATTGATCCTAATAATGCAACGTGTGAGAAACTAATGGGAGAGGAGGTTTGAAGGGTTTTTGTGAAATTAACAATGCTGCTTCCAACAGTAGGTATATTGTTGTTCCACACGTATGTTGGTTCTCTGTATCTGTCATCAGAATCTCCTTGGAATGAGAGTTTGAGGAGCACATCTGACAGCATCATGGGCACCTGGCTCCTTGGGGCTATTGAATTGCCCCTTCTTTTTTTTTTACTAGATGGTCAAGATGAAAATTTTAGGTTTCTGAATGATTTTATAAGCTGATGATATAGCTCGGTTGACTGGAGGCTGTTAGACATAGACCCTGAAGGTGTGTGCATGGGTATGTGCATATGTGGACATTCCTGGACATATGTGATCTATCACCAAATCAATCCTAGAATAGTCATCAGGTACTACCTTTCCCTTCCCCAAAATTTAAAGTATTATGAAGTTCTCGAGGACAACTCTAGATTTTACCCAGGGAATCAGTAAATGCCTAATCTCATTCCTGATCCCCCAGGGAATCAGTAAATGCCTAATCTCATCCCTGATCCACTAAGTAGCTCAGATCAGAACCATCCAGGAAAGGCCTGAAAAGCCCACCTCCCTACGGAAAGGCAAGCACTTGCTCACGATTGTTTCTGTTCAGAGTGGCATGTGCCAACGTTGCATTGCATTACGTTATGTTGCATTAATGTAATTCCATCATTTTAACTGGCCTTTAACTTGAATGATTGATTTACCTTGGTCCCTGCTGGTGAGGAGTCTTTTATTTGTAATGGTGATAAGTAACCACTGGTTCATCCAATAAAGCATACTAGTGAACATACTTGACGGTGCTCCTTCGAGGGACGAAACGATTTGCTTCTGCCCCCGAGCCACACTCGTGCACAGACTGCTTTGTCAGGACAGCAAAATGAAAGCAAGTTGGATGGTGAAGAAGAGGCTCCCTTTCTAAAGCGGATCCTGTTTCTTGTACAATCAAAGGTTCACCCTCCAGGAGAAGCCTGTAAATAGCACGGGTGTTTTGCAGAGCTGAAAGCCGCCTCTCCTGACCCATGATCATCTGGTCTGAAGTGGAAGTTTTGATTCATCTAGAAAGTCAGCTGTGTGGATGCTGCCATCCATCTTTCCTTCAAAAGGAAGAGGATAAGATTTTAAAGCCTAGACCTGCCTTGCCTTCAGATTCTTTGATCTGTGTTAATTCTCACTTTCTATGTAGAAAAAGGCTTTTTGCTCATCTTTGTTTTACAGAAAGTAAAATTTCTTAAATAATTAATCAGGGAACAAAATTTAACTGGATCTATTTACATAGTCTCCATAAAAATAATTGTCATGTGGGTGGCTGACACCACGTGACATTCAAGCTTTGGATAGGAATCTTGTTTCTCTCTCTCTCTCTCTCTCTCTCTCTCTCTCTCTCTCTTCTGTGAATAGTCATTCCACTCAAAACTACCAGATAAATTCTTCAGGCCGAATTTACTTTCTTTTCCAGCAAATAGCACGAGCAAGCGCCTCCCCTCCACCCGCCTCAGTAATGCCCCTACTGTTCTTTGCTTTCTTCTCTTTCAATAAATAAGAAGAGGCTTTAACAACCTGAACAATCTGATGGCAAAGAAGCGAGTAGATGCAACGATTGGAAACTGGAAGCGATGGATGCCTTAGGGACTTCCCGACTCAGACAAAGGTGTTTCCCATACTTCACACATCCACCGTGCTACCTCGGTGCTCAGACTGACTTCATTCTGTCAACTTCATTCGGACTGAGGGACAAACCGTCTTTTAACACTCAGGAGAAATGAAGAGAGTTCAAGTGAATTAAAATGATGAAACAGTCCATACAGTTCCCTTTATTTGTACATAACCATATTTTATGGGAGATTTCCCCCCTCAGCCTCGCCCCCTGTTTTAATATTTATGAAATTCCTAAAGCTTATGAACTTAGATTCCAGTGCTAACTCTAACCAAAGAATTGTTGCTGTTAGCTATTGGCTAAGTAGAGGCGCAGCATTATGGGAAAGAACAGCTCCCTGGGGTGTGCTTGGCTGTAATCTTGAAGGAAGCTCTTTGCGAGGCCTTTCCTTCTGCAGTCTCTGGGGGCTTTCAAATCATCCCCTTCTACCTTCGCAGCAACCACAAGTCTATGGCACCACCCAGGCTCCTGTGAACCAAAGGATAAACTCCTGAAATCATCTGAAATGGATAAATGTAGGCCTCCTAGGATGCGTGTCTGTTGTCTTCATTATTTCTTTTTCAGTAGGGGATAGGATGTTGAAGCCGTCTATGAAAGCAAATGTTTTAAAATGTTGATTAAACAAGTGTTAATCTGTAAAATTCAACTAGATAACCTTTAAAAATAGTACCATTTTAGGAGCCCACGTGGCATAGTGAGTGGTTGTGCATTGGGTTGCTAACTGCAAGGTTAGCCATTCGAAACCACCAGCTGCTCCTTGGAAGAAAGGGGCAGTTCTACACTGTTTTTCAGGTTCATTATGAATTCTAACCTGGATAGGGTCTACTTGATGGCAGTGAAATTGATTTTTTTTTATTATGTATTATTAATCATTAGAATTTCCACTCAAACTCCAGTAACAAATGATACGGCCAATTTCAGAAAGCTCAGCTCTGTTGAGCAAAAGTGAATTGAATTTTAAGGAGGTGTCTGTAATCCAAGTCAACATTCAACAATTAGTAACATAAACCTTTATAGTACATACCCTAAGGCTGCCAGGTTTGATTTCTCAGGTTGTGTCAATTTTAACCTGATTTACAAATAAACAATTAGGGAATTACTCTCATATTTATTTCCTTATATGTTATATGTTAAAGGCATAAAATAATTACAATAAAAGAGACAATTAAATGTATCAAGAGAAAATATTATAATCAGCGATTGGATGTTCTGAACCTATGTGTATGCTTGTTTTAAAACATCCTAAAAAGCAAATAATATTTTTTCTGGAAATTCTTGACAACATATATCTTAAAATCAACAAAAGATTTTGCCATTATATGATGCTTTTCTTGATTTATAATAACTGCTGTATTGAGTCCTATGATTCTTCGTGTGTTTGCGTTTGTGTGTGTGTGCGCGCATGTGTGTGTGTTTCTTGCTAGTGGTAGAATAAAGGTAGCAAGCTTGATTGAAACACTGAAAAATATATATGGCAAACTCTGTCTTGACATGGTCACTAGTAGACTAGCCTTAATCTATAAAGTTTATATAAAAAATTGTCAGGATGAATGATTATGGGTAGACCACTCCTAATCAGTGAGGAATATATATGTTGACCTTTTGGATGCACTTTAATCACAGTCCTTTTGGTAATGATGACAAAGCCATTATATATTTACATTCATTCTCTGAGCATCTTTCTTAAAATTAATTAACTGAATCAACACAACATTTAGCAAAAAACAGTTGCCACAGAGTAAATATTGACCCTTGGCAATTCTACATGTCAGACTAGGACGATGGTCCAGGGTGTTTTCAATGGCTGAGTTTTGTTGTTGTTGTTGTTGTTTTTCAAAAGTAGGTTGCCAGGCCTTTCTCCTGAAGTGCCTTGAAGTGGACTTGTTCCTCCAATGTTTTTTAGTTTTGTTTTGTTTTTAACAGCCAAGGAAGTTAACCATTTGCTCTAACCAAGGACTCCAAACCATTAAATTTAGAAGTGTTCCATGATTCCAAAATACAGCCACTGCCATCAAGTTGATCTGACTCACAGCACCCCTGTAGGAGAGTGTGGAGCTTTCAAGGTTGTAAAATCTACAGAAGCAGAGGGCCTCCTCTCTGACCTTTTGGTTCATAACCCAATGACTAACCCCCTTCACCACCAGGAATCCTCACAGTGATAATGCTAAATTTGAAAGGTCTTGTGTTAAATTTTCTATTTAGAAATAGAAATACCGTTATCCTTTACCATTTTCCTCCATGAAGCAGAACCACTTTTCTGGTTGTATGTGAGCTTACTGAGAGAGATACTGAAACACTGATATCACAAGTGAGAGCCAGGTGTGATCAAATAGCCCAACCTTTCTGTTCGATTTTGTCTTTTGCAGATCATGGCTATTTCAAACATCACAAATGCAGTCTTAGAAAAGTGGGCTTATGAGTCCATGTCATCCCTATAGGCATTGGCAAATCTGGATAGATGTGGTATACAGCCCATGGTCAGGTGTTGGGGTTGGTAGGGGTGGGTAGAAATAATTGTATTACTTCTTTCCAAAACTTCTGAGTAACAGCAGCCTAATCGGTGATCTACTGCCAATTTTGAGTTGTAATTGTCTAATTTAGATTTGATATCATTTTACTCTGTATCATTGGTGATATAGATTAAATTTTAGTTTGAAAACAAAATCTTTCAACATAATCAACACTGAATAAAAGAAGTTTACAAAAATCTAGCTACTTCATAATTTTGAGGCTGAACACATGATATTTCTAAATATGCACATGTATGTATATATAGCTGAAATTTCTGTGATATTTTAAAATAATTAATTTCTAAGAAAAACTTAAGGGGAGACAGCTCTATTTTTTCTATTTCCTTATCTGATATTTGTAATTAATGTTTGATTAAGGTTGTAATACCATAAAATATCCCAGTATTTACTTTAAATATTGTTAGAAGCCCTTGTGGCCTAAGGTTTGTTTCTTTTTGTCTTTGGAATGAAATGTTATAACTTCATAAAATTTCAAAATAATAAAAGTCATATTAAACAAGTATTATTTTAATTAAACAAAGAGAGCCCCCTCACCCTTTTCTGTTGTTGATTAAAGAATCAAAGTTGCTTTAAACTTTTCATTGAGTCATAAACTTGGGTTGAAAAGTTGTTTGTTTACTTATCAAGATTTTCCAGTACAAATGTAATACTTAATAAATCATACATATGAATATCATAATCGTTAAAAATGTGTCTCTATTTAAACAGTAGATTCCTCAATTTTCAATATTTTAAGGCCTTTAGAAAATTATATTTCATTTAAACTCATTAAAAATGCTACTTTATGAAAATATGGAATAAATTTAATTTTATGCCTTTTTTTGGTATATAAATCCCAAACTACTGAAGAAATACATTTATTAAGCCAGTGTCTTCTAAGTAAGTACTATGGAAGAACATTCAAACAGTTTAAATTCAAATGAATTCTGTGATCTCTTCCATTATATTCATATGCTGCTAACTAACAATGATGGAGTGTTTCATGTAGAACATCTACTGTGCTAATCCCTTCATATGATTTATCTTCTTAAATCCTCAGAACAGCCATATTAATTAAAGACAAGTGTGCCCATTTTAACTGGTGTATAAGCTGATGGATAAAAAGCCTTCAGGCTATCAGAGAATATCAAAATAACTTACAATGAAAGTTGCATTTTCACCTGATATGTTTGACTCCAATCTTCTATCTCAATCAATAAATTGCACTCCCTGTTCTAAATGAAGATGAAGATAATGCCATTCACACAAATTAATTCATTTGGAATGACTGCAAATGGAATAAAGGCAATTCTGTTCAGTTTCGGCTAACATCTGAGATTGTGTCTAACAGATGCAGCCAGACACCACATCTGGCACTTAGGTGATTCTTGGAACTCATGCCCATAGCCCCATTTACTGAGACTATTCTCAATCATCTTTCAACAAACACAACCCCAAGTTTAATCCATTTCCATTGCTTGGATTGAATTTAGCAGTAGAAAGGTCATTATCACACCAGCTGCCTTGATGCAACTGTGAGCTGACATTGCTTGGATGCTGCAAGGTAGGAGTGGACTGACTAAGGGCTGAATCTCTGCAGATAAACAGAAAATGTGTGTTTTATACCCTTTGGAAGTTGGTTTTCCTGTAGATTTATATCCACTCTCTACTAAAAAAAAAAATTACATATTTTTCTTGTTTGGTTCAATTTGGAAGAATGGGTGTGAGATCTCTATATTGACATCTAAAAGTGGTTCAACTGTAATTTCATAATGCCATAAATTCCATTATACCAAGAGAAAGCATAATCACTTCATTGATAACTGTGTTAATCTGGGTAAGCTAGAGAAACAAATCTAGAGAGACTCAGATGTGTGTAAGAAAGAGCTCCATATCAAAGAGAAACTGTACATTAAGAAAACATTCCAGCCCAGTCCGGATCAAGACCATAAGTCCGATATTAACCCAAATGTCGATACTAGTCCATAAATTCCTCTTTAGACTCACGCATCCAATGGTGTTGAATGCAGGATGATCACAGGCCAGTGGGTGGAAAGTCTTATGGATCCAGTGGTGGTGAAAGCAGCTCAGCACTGGTGTGGGTCCCCGCGTGGCTCCTCCAGCTCCAAGGCTCTGGCTCTATCAATGTAGCTCCATGTGGCTTGTCAACAGGAATGTCTCACATGGAGTGAGTCTATATCTGGCCTCCAGTGAGCTATTTATCTCTGTTTGTGCCTCCCAAATGAAGTCATCAAGCTGTGACCTGAAAAGCTAGACTCCACCCCTTCACCAGTTGACACAATAACTATAATAACAGCAGTATTTCCCATTTATAAGACATTTTTAAAATTGTGAATTTGGGGTTATATTTCAGATCATCGATTTTGTATTTAACAGCTTAAACTACTAATCAATCCCGCAATAGTTTACCCAACAGTGCACCCACCCCCCTCAACTTTTGATTTCTCTTCTCCTCGTTGTGAATTCTTCATTCACCCAAGTTAATATAATATATCCCACCCTGACCCTCTCCCCTTTGGTAAGTTCCAAAGTCTGTTTCCTTTGGTATGAAAGTGTTTGTCTTAGTTTCATCCTAACAGTAGAGATCTCATGCAATGTGTCCTTTTGTGATTGACTAACCACTCAGCATCAAGTTTAAAAAGGGAAGCCTAGTGGCGTAGTGGTTACTAGGTAGGCTGCCAGCCACAAGATCAGCGGTGTGACCCTGGAAGAGCAGCGAAAGGCAGGCGGGTCAGGGTGATGGATCACAGCAGCTCAAGGCATTTATGTGTTGCAACTGCTGCGGTTGGATTGGAGGGGGGAGTCTACATATAGGTGATGTTTAGGGGGTGACAGTAGGCACTGATTCTCTTGTCAGCAATGGTAGAAAAGAATATTGCAGCAATATTCTTTTCCATTCAACCTCAACTCTAAGATATTTGATGTTAAAAATAAGTTGGATTTAAATGTGAAATGAAGCAAAAGAGACTTACTCCATGTCATGATGAAACTTATTCTTTATTTAAGAAGGAAGTTTCCAGATCAAAAAGAGGCTTGGATTTTTTTTCTCATCTAAAAGTTGGTATCTGTACCCCCCACCCCACCCCCAAATTCTGGAAAACAGGCATTTTATTCTATTTGTAGTTATAAATAAGTATAAATAGAAACTGGTGATGTTTATTGATTCCCATCAGTAGTGACTACACAACTCAACTAACCAAAAACTCAGTGTGTATCTGCGTGCGAGCCTGTGCTGCCTCAGAAATGGGTCATCTTCGCCAAGGTCACATTGGTGTAACTTTTGTCCTTGGGGTCAGAGCCAGGGGCCTGGCTCTCTTGCGTGAGTCCATTCTGTAAGGCAGACTCAGTGCCTCGTTTCCAGCCACTGCCATTTTCAAGTTCTTCCTATGGAAAACAGAAAGACAAGGATTAAAGCAATTTTACTTGGGCTTCTGCCTCAAAAACATAATTGTAATAAGCAACAGAAATAACTCTGACCCATGATACTTTATAATAACTTCATATCAAACCAAACCGAAGCATTTTGTATGGACTGTGTCACAGTGAAACTGTGATGCTTTTCAATGGTTGATTTTTTTGGAAAGAATCATGGCTTTCGTCCTGTGCTGCTGTGGATTTGAACCGGCAACCTTCTTTGAGTCAGCAATGGAACACTTCACTGTTCTCCTGAGGGAAGCCTACCTCAACACATGTAGTTATAGCTAATAAAACAAAACACCCAAAGCATTGCCATCAAATTGATGTCAACTCATGGGCCCCTATATGGCTTTTCTGAGGCTGTATGTTTTTGAAGGCAAAAATAACCTCATTTTTCTTCCACAGAGTGACTGGTGGGTTCAGATGGCCAACGTTGCAGTCAGCAGTTCATGCCCAACAGCACCATAGGGCTACTTTTCTAATGATGATCGGAATAATCATTTATTGGGTATTACAAGATGCCTCATGTAACGGGAAGAAGCTTGAACACTTCTCATTTAGAGAAGGCCCGTGATACGCTGGACTGACGCAGCGCCTGCAACAACGGGCTCAAACACGGGGACAGTTGTGAGGATGGCACAGGATCGGGCGGTGTTTACCTCCGCGGTACAGAAGTTTGCTGTGAGTTGGAACCAACGTAATGGCACTGAACAACCACCACAATTTAGTGCAGCACTCTTGATGGGCAGTATTAGTACCTCCTGGGAAGAGACCGATCTCTTTCTGAGACAGCGGTGCCCCCTTCCTGCCCAAGCCATCGGGGGTGTTGTCGCTTTTAGGCACCGGAGGTTCCAGCTCATAGTCGCCCTCCATCCAACAGAGCAAAACTGCCCGGTCCTGTCCATCCTCACGAGTGTTATGTCAGAGCCAATTGTAGTCACGGGGTCGATCCAGCTCCTTGACCATCTTTCTCCTTTTCCTGGACTTCTACTTTATGAAACATGATGTCCTTTTCCAGGGACTCGTCTCTGCTGATAACACGCTTAAATTGCCCGAGCAGAAGGCTCCCTATGCTCCCTGCAAGGCGTATTCTGGCTAGACCACGACAGGGCTGCTTGTTCTTCTGACAGTCCAGAGGATGGCCAATACTTGTCCTCAGTGCCGTGTTTATTCCCAGCGGTCTTTTCAGGCCAATATAAAGTTTATCGAGGCAAATGGCTCTTTTTCAGTATGATCGATTGTTCGATGCCACCAACCCCTTTCTTATCAAACCACTGTTGATGAAGACTGCTGGCCTTCACCTGGCTGTGTTCAACATTCTTAAACAGTCATGTCACACATGTTGCTCAGCCACAATCAGAGCCTGGCACTGAAAGATCTGCCTTAACCATTTGAGCTCCGAATCCTGTCTCTATCTGCACCTGACACGCTCCATCAAACCCTCAGTAAAGGGCTCCTTCTCGGTACTGCAGTCTAAGTGCTACATTCAGCTTGGCTTTATGTATGTTGTTTTGGTGTCTCTGAAGGAGGAGAGCAATTGACCACCTAAAAATATGATTAATATGAGTGAGAGCCCCCCTCCCAGAGTTCCAAAAGAGTAAAATGTGTGGAACTGAAAGAATGAAAATGGCTCAAATAAGAAAGAAATGGACCCCCGCCCCCCTGCCAAAAAAAAAAACCCCAAAATATCAGGCATGCCTTGATAAAGTGGGAGGATAAACAGATAAGGTCAGATGTGATGTTAAAAAGAAACTTTTCCCCAAGGCCTTACAGTAGTTGTCAAATGCTGTTTTCGTACTGAATACAGACAACAACAAAAATGTATTGGCATCCAGTCGATTTTGACCCAAGTACCCCTGTAGGCTAGGGTAGAACTGCCTACTGAGAGTCACTCTTTATGAGAGTAGAAAGCCTGTCTTTCTCCTGAGGAGTACCTGGTGGGTTTGAACTGCTGACCTTGTGTTTAGCAGCTCAACTCAGAGCCGCTGAACCACCAGGGCTCCTTTCTTACCTGTATAATCTTGCCTAATACAGCTTTGTTTTCTTTCAACAGACACCCTGGTTACCTTTTGTAACCTTACAAATGACATTTCCAACCTTTTTTAATATGGTCAAACCATTAGATATTGTAGCATGTGAATTATATACCAATAAAGCTGTTAAAAAAATAATAATAAAAGGTATGGTCATCTCTCTTTCTGTGGGAGCTTTTCCCTGGTTCCTCTGCTGTCCCTTCCTCTCCTGCCTTAAGTCACTAAATCTACTTGGATGGCTGTAGCCCTGCCTGGACACCATGTGCTTCCTAATGGGATGAGGATAACTGGGGAGTCCTGGACCTCCTGTGGCTCCCTGCTCAAAGACCCTCCTCATGGACCACATCTCAGGTGAGAAAGACTGAAGCTCAGAGAGGTTAAATAATTTACCCTATGAAAATAAACATATATCTAAGGTTAAACACAAGATTGCTTGACTCTTAAAAACATGTGCTTTTGATCAAATTAATAACTTTTTTAAAGTTATTATTCTCAACACTAGACTGTGTGCCTTATTTTGTTACTTTTCTTATTATCTCTATCATATTTTTTAAAGAAGTCACCCTCATGGGCTGAAAGGAAATTTGAAAATCACTCACTTGCAGTGTCAACCTATTTCCTTGTTTAAAATGGAATCACGCAGGTAACTCTGAAGTTCAGCCCATATATTTTCAGTTTCTACCATTCATTGCCTTCCCTTCCCACACCTGTCCTTGCAGCTGGCTTAAATTTATGGAAGAGGAATCCATTTGAGTCAACCACAGATTCTTCTGAGGCTGAACCTCTCGCTCACCTGCTCCGTCCCACTGTCATGTGGAACTCCACACCAGCATAAGGTTTTGTATTCCTTGGACCAAAAGCAAAATAAATTACACACTGGTCTAATTAACAGGGGTTGAATATCTTTGCCATGTTGAGGTCCTGTTAAAGAAAGAACAGCCGAATCAGGTGGTTATGCACATTCAGGTACTTCCGTTTAAGGGTTTGATCATTGTCCGTTTGAACAGTGGGTCCCTTTAGAAGAGTGGAAACAGTCTGTCTGGTAAATTCATAGAAATTGGTTACTCCTCAAAGGGGTGGAGGCTAGTTTGTCAATTATATCTAAATGATCAGTTCAGACAAGCTAATGGCTTTTCATATGAATCTACTATTTAAAATACATATTTTAATGAATCTGCTAATTGTGTGTGTGTATATATATATATATATATATATATATATACTTATATATTTTTTGAAGTTGTTACCAAATGAAAGGCAGAAATTACAAATGGGTGTGCTTCTCAGCCCAATGGGTTGCCACCAAGTTAACTACCTTGTGATCATCTCAGGTCGGTCAGAGTAGAACCGTGCTCCACAGGACTTTCAAGGGCTAATTTTCTGGAAGGAGATCACACCACCTTTCTTCCAAGGAGCCCCTGGATGGACTCAAACTTCCATCCTTTGGGTTGGAAGTTTAGCATATTACCTCTTTGCACCACTCAAGGACTCCACTTCTTATCATAGCCAAGATCTCTTTAATTTCAGTGACTATTTCTTGATATATATTCAGAGTTCTAAAGTATTGAAGATAGCAAAATGTGCAGCAGACTTCAAAAATTCATGAAATAAGACATTGATTTTCATTTTTCATGGATTTTTTTAAGCACCCTTGTCTTTCCAGGGTAGTTTCCCAAAATGCTGCCATTGAGATTATCTGTCGGGTAGGACTCATGACTTCCCGTTGGTTAGTACTACAGAATAGATCATGATAATGCTGATAGTATTGGGCAGTTGAAACAGGCAGGTAGCATGAGTATGATTATGATGGGCTTATTATACTCCACCTCCTCCCACCACTTGCTCACAGATTTTGACATAAAAAGGGTAATGAACCGTCAATGGACTATGGCTTAAGATGTGGATTTTGAGTGCCAATACCCAAAATGATTTTTATCTTGAAGTCTGTGGCTGTAGAAAGGTCCATATCCCGGCAGAGAGGGTCTAGAAAGGATGTATGCAAAGGGGATGGTAAAATTCTCCTTGGTTTCCAGTAGGTTAGTAAAGGATGACCCTGTGAGACAAGAAGGTGGTGATGGGAAAATCTCCAGTCTCTCAGTGAAATGAAAAAGAAATCCACTTCTTTTGTGTGTCCTTCCTTATTGTTATATTACACAACACTTTTCACATGGAGATTTCTGGGAGCCAGGTGTCAAAACAACTGACAATGAATATATTGGGATTATATTAATATTTATGTGTATGATGCATACACAATACAGCGAGTCAAAGTGATTGCTACAAAATCCTGGAAACCTTATTAAATAGAAACATCAAAATGTGAAGCTAATGCTTCCCAATACCTCCTCCATTGGCTCCCTACATTTCCGAAGATGTTGCTTCCGTCTCTGTAACCCTTGCCCGAAGAACCCCGTGTCCCTCGATTGATATCAAAATCTGTGAAAATGGCATCCTCAAGGGACTCAAATTGTGTTCCTTGTAAATGTTCTTTGAGTTTGGGGAATAAAAACATCTGAATGGGCAAGATCAGGGATTTAGTATTGATGAGGTAAGACTCCCCCCACCCCCCAAAATCTCATGGGCAAGCTTTCTCTACCCTCACAGAATAAGCAAAATTCCTAGTTGTGATGGGGAACCAAAATTCCTGTCTGCAGCTTCTTTCCTTTTGCTCACCAACTCGGTTTTCTATTTTCTTAAGATTCATAACCAGCCTTTGCGATCATCCTGTGTCATTCAAGAAAATTATCAAATGACCCCTTTGACATCCCAAAGAGTGGTTGTCATGACCTTCTGAGCTGATACCTCTGGTCCAACAGACACCCTTTGAAGCCATTTCTTTGATTGGACTTCTTTTTAAAGGCCCCTAATGAGATATAGACCAGTGGTATATTACTAAAGAGAACTCGTCTGCAGCATTGATCACATAGACATGTTCAAGCATGTTCTGTTTGGCATAAGTCCATTAATGTATGAATTGGAGTCATGGTAACAATACTTTTTGACTGACCCTCATATGTACATGTACAAATTCCTCACTGCCATCGAGGTGTTTCCAACCCATGGCACTGTTACAGGACAGGGTAGACCACCCCTGTGGGTTTCTGTGATTGTTTCCAGGAGTAGGAAGCCTCATCTTCCTCTTACAGAGAGGCTGGTGGTTTCAAACTACTTACCTTGAAGTTAGTAGCCCAAAGGGGCTGAATTTTCATGAAAAAAAAGTTCATTATCTTTTAATTCTGATTTTCTGCCAACTTTTCAAAGTTCCCTCATACATCCAAGCATATCAGTTAAAATATACTTGTACATGTCGCCTAACAGAGATCACGTGTATCTGAGAATAAAAACTTTTTATCGTGGACTCAAATTTGCACCAGTGTGATGAAAATCCTGGGCCCCAAAGGATGAATCTACGTAACCAACCTGTCATGCAGCTGATGATTACTCCAGCAATTATGCACCCCAGGCAGCCCACTGCACTGTAGTAAAGGTAGGAGATGGAATACCAGGTATCAGCTATGACAGGTCTGTGAAGGAAAATAACACATGCCACCAGTTACATAAAGTCTGGAATTATGATTTCAAAGACTAAGATGAGCTTATTTGGGCATCTGGCATCTCTCCAAACCCCAAAACTTAGCTTTTTTGTCATTTGTTAATATGTTAATTGATTCAAGACGGGTTTTGCTAAGTATTTCACACAATCCAATCCATTCCTAAATTTATAATCCCGGAAGTCCCTGAATTATGAACAGAATCTGGTCTGACGTGTGTCTTTAAATTGAAGTTGTAGCTCAGTCAAAACAGGTGTATACAGTTCTTATTTAGCCTGACGTTAATAAGAGGCTCAAAGCCCTTTCCGTGATTTAAGTGCCACGCAGGTGTAAGTGAAGCTGCTTTGGATGAAGAATTTGTTTCAACCAGAGCACATTTGACTCGGTCATTTAAACGTGAGTACGGTTTTACAGAACACTGGAGGGCAAGTGCGGAAAAGAAAAAGACAAGCCTCTCTGTGGTTCTAGCTCATAAGGAGCTGACAGGACAGGGTAGGATGGCCTCGGTGGGTTTCCGAGTCTGTAACTGCTGACAGGAGTTGAAAGCCTCTTCTTTTCTCGGGAGGACCAGGACTAGTGGCCCATAAATCAGACATTCATTACCCTAGTACTGCCTGCATCGCAGTGAGGACTGCGACTTCCATTAGTTTTGTGCTATTTAGTCAGCAGGAATTCCTTTAGCTACGATTTAGTGTTCAGAATGGTGACAGGCATTGAGGGTGTCCAGGTAAGTAAACTACAAAATCTGCATTCGAGGAAGTAACAGATAATCCTAAAATGCTGTTTTGTATTATCAAGGACTGCGGATTTTCTGTATGTGAAATTCAGGGTAGGTAAAGCTCTAGAGATAGTCACTGGGTTAGTAATTACCTAGGGGACTGGCACTGAAGGTTTTCAGGGGAAGTGAGGAGCTAACTACAATGAGTATGTGAAGAAAATATTTTGAAATTGATTGTGGTGATGATTGCACACCTCCTCTTAATATCATTGAATGATTAAATTGTATGATATGTGAAGTATATACCAAAAGTTCTATTTAAAGAAATAATGTGGCAGCCTTGGTAGACTAGAAACAAAGGATTATGAGAACATTCAGAAAGAGTATCAAAACCACATTAATATGTGAGATGTACCACAATTCACTCTTAAAGAATGTCTAGTAGTTAATCAAGCAAAGAGAACTGAGGGCCAAGATTTAACATTCCACAAAACGAAGCCGTGATAGAGCCATGGAAAAAAGAAATAGCAGGATGAGTCTGAACTAAAAGTAGATGTAATTGGATCATGAGATTTACGGAAGGAAATGATTCTGTACTAAATGAAATGCAGAAGTAAAGGAGGACAATATATTGGATGTTGTACTATAGCAAACAATGTGACCTCTTCACTGTTCTATGCTGTGATCCATCTACTTCCATTATAATAGGTTTTACGCAAACAATGCCAAAGAGTTCAGGAGCTAAAAAAACTAGCAACAAATGGTGGTTGTCTTGCCGTTTCTTTAAGAGAAGGAATCAAGAGTTAACTCTCAGTCCCAGGGAAGTTTTAAATTGTGGGAGAATGATGCCAATAAAGTCTAGACACAGGAAAAAAATGTCGACACAGATCTCAGCTGAGTGTATGTAGATAGATTTTCATCTCCTTTCTTAGTGAAGCGATACTTTTGTTGAAATGTCACTAGTATCCTATAAAGACACTCCTGGTTTTTAGCAAAAAGGACCCAACGGCAGTTTGCTTGTAAGTTTATTTCTTAGGGGAAACTTCCCATTTACAAGTGGTAAATGATGAAACAGGTGATACTCAGCTGATCATGCCCTCTTCAACGAGCAACTGCATCTTGATGCAGTTGCTCTGTCCTTAATTTTAAATTAGGTATTTTAGGAATATGGCATATGTACTATTTGAAAATGCCCTCTCTCGTTCAAGATTATGAGATAATGCCAATGAAATTCTTCTAGGGAGTTGCTGTTCTAAGCGTGCTATACCTGCTACACTGAAGAATTTCTGCTCTGAGTTAACAATACAAATTTTAGTTCTGCGTGGTATCCCAAATCCTAAGACTCCATTTCTGCTTGTGAAGATGGTCTGTGCTCCAGGAGTAAGGAAGAGTCCTGATTTCCGAGGAACAGAGAGGCAGTGGGAAGAAACTTAAACTTGATTCATTGCTTCTCTCAAACTGTGTTCCCTTTTGAAGTGAATCAGACACATGACTTCCAAGAGCTTATTGTCTACTGAGAAGGTAGAGCCAAATAAAGATTGACAATAAAATGGAGTAGAACCCAACAGACTACAGTGGAATGCAGAGCAGAAGAAGTCACCATAAACTAAAACAACAAGAAAACAAACTAAGACTCATAGCAACACTGCAGGGAAGAATAGAACTATCCCTTTATGTTTCTGAGGTAGTGATTCTTTATAGGAACAGAAAACCTCATCTTCCCCCAATGGGGTGACTGGTAGGTTTGAGCTGTTGTCCTTGCAGTTAGCAACCCAATGGGCCACCAGAGCTCCTCATAGAACAGAACGTAAGAAAAAAGAATAGTCAAATATGTCTTTAGTAGTTATAAAATCTGGTGTCAACTTGAGACTATTAAGAATGAAGGGGTGGAGTTCAGCCTGTCAATCAGGTTACAGCTTGATGACCTCATTTGGAGGTGCTATGGAGATAAATAGCTCACTGGAGGCCAGACCCACTCTCTCATCTACACCTTCCTATGGACAAGTCACATGAAACTACGCTGATGGACCCAGAGTCCTAGAACTGGAGGAGCCATATAGACACCCCTGCCAGCAATGAGATATTTCCTCCACCACTGGATCCACAAGACGTTCCACCCACTGTCCTGTGATCTTCCTGTATCCTGCATTATTGCATGTGTTGTGTGAGTCTGAATTAAAGACTGCTATCGGACATATAAGCTAATATCGGGCTTATGGACTTGATCTGGACTGGACTGGGATGTTTTCTTAATATACAATTACTCTTTATATAAAGCTTTCTTATACACATATGAATGTCTATGGGTTGGTTTCTCTAGTCCACCCAGCCTAACACAATTTCTGATGGGCCACAGGTGCTGTAGACAATGCAAGCTTGGCCTTAGTGGACAGTTCATTCTGCATCTCACTAGACAGTTCATTTTGTACCTTTTAAATATGAGGTTCAACATGTGACTATTATAGAAAGGCTTAATGAATGGAAGGATAATTGTTTTAAAAAATATATTAAGGTCATTTCAAGTCAAGAGGTCAAATAATGCATCTGCAGTATGAATAGAATGGATTAGAAAAGGAAAAGTTAGAGGAAAATGAGAAAAGTCAATAGAAAAAAAAATAGGATAATTTAGCTTTCCTGAACATTGGAGCTAAGCTCTGTTCCTCAATACTATTCTTCCCAGATCCCTTTTCCTTGTAATAACACCATGATCCTCACACTCACTCATTTCCAAACGCTCCGCTGTTTTTCCTGTCTTACATAAACTTCCACCCACAATTCACACGTTTGCCCCTTCACCCATATTAACCAAAGCAAACTCACTACACTGGAGTCAATTCTGAGTCGTTGCAACTTTATAAGACAAGGTGAAGCTGCCCAAGCAAGTTTCTGAGACTGTAACTCTGTACAGGTGTAGAAAGGCCCATCTTTCCCTCTTAAACATCTCAACATGATGAGTCCAGAAGAAAGCTGGATCCACAGCTGGCATTTCTTTAGAGCTCGATTCACATAAGAGAGAAAGATAGATTTCAACAGACTTTTCCCTGTCAATCTGTCTCTGAGCTGCTGACCCCCTCTCAGCCTTATCAGAATATTTCAGATGAGCATACCTACTAGACAGCACTTGAGACACCAATTCTGTAACATTTGATGGAGCACACTGATCTGTCGACAGAGGCAAGGGCAATGTCTTGGAGTCTGCTGCTGGGTAGATAAAGCCTCCAATGGCCACCCAAAATGACAAGGTAATTCCAGTTAATAGGCCTCCAAGTGCACCCTTGAGAAAGGAAAACAAGTTATAGAGATCAGACAGAGCTGTCTTCTGAAATAATCACACGGGGGATCCTGGGCTTCAGGGATTCTGGCTCGAGATCCCAAATTCTTGATGACATGTGCCAGAAATAGTTTATGGACACTCTCTTCTTTCCAATTCCCACAATGCAGCCTTAGTAACGTGTTTCTTAAATAAAAACACTGGATGTTATTAGAGTGAACATACTATTTCTGGGTGTTTTTGCTGTATTTTTTTTAACAGAAAAGAAGTATCAACTTTTTTTCTTTTGGCACATCAAAATCTGTTGAAACCGCTTTCCCAATGGAAGATTTCTGAAGTTCAGGGAAGCTGCACATAATGGAGAAAATGTGGTCGTTTTTCATTGACAGTATTATTCAGAAATCCTTACTCCTATTTCTCTTCCCAAGAAATTCTGGCGGAGACTCCAGGCTCCCAAGTTCTGGGATTTGTTTTTGTTTGATTCCAAAATCCAACAAATAGATATGCAAGCCCTGTCGTTTAAGGGGTATATTTATTGGCAAACGGTGCTTAAAAAGCCGGTGAGTTGAACGAGTTCTCCTGTAAAGGAAATGGAATATTCTCGCAGAGACGAAGACTTCGTGAAAACGAAAGCTGGACCCTCAGTGTCGCACAGATGGCCGAGGCTGCTCTGTGAAGAAAATAGAGCACGCGTGTGCACGCACACTCAAATGGGCTAATGCCTCTAGCTATAAACAATAAATTAATCACACATCCCTAACCCAAAAATCCAGAAGACGCTGCCCACTAGTGAGAAAATTAAAGCAAGCTATGTGGTTTAAACGCATGCCTTGAATTCTGGCTTTAGATCCTAAATGCTTGGTCCCATGTGCTAGAAATTATTTATGTGCACTGTCTTCTTTTCAGTTCCCACAATGCAGGCTTAGTGATGTGTTTCTTAAATAAAGACACTGGATGATATTAGAGTGGACATGTTATTATGTTCAGTAGGCCAATAGTCAGCAAACTCCTTTTGTGAAGAGAAGATAAGAAGTATTTTCAGCTTTGTGGATCATTCCTTTTCTGCCACAATAACCCCAAACCACAATTGTAGTGTGAAAACAGCCACTCCCAAACCAAACTCACTGCCCTCCAGTTGATGATACTTCTGAGTGGCCCTACAGGACTGGATAAAACTGCCCCATCTATGTCAGATACTGTCAATCTTTATGGAGTAGAAAGCCCCATCTTTTTCCTGTGAGGTGGCTGGTGATTTTGAACTGCTGACTTTGTGGATTGCAGCCCAATGTGTATAACTACTATGCCACCAAGGCTCCTTAAAAACAGGTCATACACAGTATATAAACAATTGAGAGTTGCTGTGTCCTGATAAAACTTTATTTATGAACACTGATGTTTTCATTTAAAATAATTTTCATGTTTTATGAAATATTCTTGTGTGTTTTTTTCAATCATCTAAAAATGGAAAACGTTTTTATTCCGTTGTTTTTTTATAAACTTGCAAGCCTATATAAAGCAGGATATGGGCTAACTTTGATCCAAAGGCTGCATAATCGACTGACCCCTGGCTTCCTGTAGAGTAAATGTATTTCAATCTGAGGTCCAACTCAGACTAATTTACAGTAACTGCAGAGCCCTGTTGGCATAGTGGTTATATGTTGAACTGAGATCCACAAGTTTGGAAGTTCGAAACCACCAGCAGCTCTGTGGGAGAAAGCCAAGGCTTTCTACTCCCATAAACAGTTCCAGGTTCAGAAATTCATAAGGGACAGGTTTACTCTGTCCTATGGGTTTGCTATGAGACACCATCAATTCACAGTGTTCGGCTTTGGTTTGGCCTGAAAGATTATGGTACTTACATAATTTCATGTCAACTTGAAGATGTCTAAAAGTGTAGGGCTGGTATTCAACCTGTCAATCGGGTCACAGCCTGATGGGGCCTCCTTGTGGTCATGGGCTTCTAATAAGAAGGACCCTGGGAATCTCTCTGCTTTCACTTTGCTGCTGGTGGGCCACTCTGAAACCCACCATGGGTTCCATGGGAATTTGCACCACCGACCTGTGACATTCCTGTATTCGGCTTCATTGCTTGTGGCTGTGTGAGTCCGAAGGACTTAAGGACTAGAATCAGACTTGTGGACTTGAGTTGGACTGGGCTGAGATTTTTTATTTATTTGTTTTCTCAATAAATAATGCCTGCTTGATAGAAAGCTCTTTCTCATACACATATGAATGTCTATGGACTTGTTTCGCTAGTCATCCCAGCATAACGCAAAGACCACAGTAAGAAGGATGCTAAGGTTGTGTCCACGTTCTATGGACAAGAAATCTGTGATGAATATGGTCAGCCATGACCAATGACAAAGGGGCCCACAAATTTATAATATCACTTACCTTTATGTAGAACACATTTTCTGACTAAATGGGGCCATCAGTAATGAAAATAACTAACAAATTAATGTTGGTAAGGCATTAAGATATTAGGTAACCTGCTTATAGTTTATCTGTGGCTAGGAAATTGCCTTTCCTCAAATTGCTTTCAAAGACCAAGCTACCTTTGTCATTTCTAATATCAGAAAAATTGGTTTAAGGACTGCCCCTCCACACAGGACTGCAGAGGAAATGATGCAAATCGCAAAGGTTCTCTTGCCCCTCCCTTCTCTTTGCCCAGATCCACACAATTGACCCAGAGAAAATCCAATTGGAGTGGTAGCCAGAGACTAGTAAGGTTTCCTATGACGTCAATAACGACATGGAAACCTGAGTATAATGAATGTCTATATGCAAGTAGCTGGGTCCATAGCAGTAGGTTAAATGACTGTTTTCCTGGAATTAACCATAATGAAAACTTTTAAAAATATTTTAAATGATTAAATGCTGCTTTGATGCACACTTAGTACACATTCACCACAATTTACTTGAGAATTTATTATCAACCCATCAGCCCAGCAAAACAGAGAAGTCCAAGTGCCAGAATGTCCCAGGCTAGTTATTTAAGTTAGACCTAGTTTTAGGTAACTATTGAAAAATATAAATATAATTTATCTTTGTTTAAGTATTAAAAATTATGCTTTAATTAAACTATTTCTGAATTCACTATTAATTGTAAACTATACTTTGTGGGTCCTTAACTGAAAACGTTTAACTTAAACCTCAAAAGAACCTGCCCTTATACTACGCTATCTACATCTAGCATGATTATGATTATGATTACATCTACATCTACTCTTCTTTGCTTTCAATTTCTCAAAGGCTCCAATGAAGTTAGGTATCAACTAAGAAGTTGTATATCTTCCATGAAGTTATCTATCTAACTTACTAAGAAGTTGGATATATACTATGAAAAGAAGCCGCCATTCTTTCCCTGGAAAAGGCAATCTTTCCAAGAATATGTGAGAGGAGAGAAAAAAGAGAGCACATAGTAAGGGCCATTTTGGGTGGGAAATGTGAGCAGTGACATGGGCTTCTTACCTTCCAGTTCACAAAAGGGAATATGATGCCCAGACTGAACAAGCCAAGCATTGGTCCTCCACACATGCCATGGATGCTAAGGGCAGCCTGTGGGGCAAAACAGACCTGATAAATCACTCTCTCTACTGTTTGAGGTCCATCTGGAACCACTGCATACCCCCTCTCTTAACCTGGAAGAAAATTGTGGTTCTCATCTTGACTCATTAATCATATGCTTTCTATCAGAATTTCTTCCTTCTGGAATCCTAGAGAGAAGTAGTTTGCCATCAGCTGGAACTCTGATTTATTTCTATTTTCTATTCTGTCAAAAAGCATTTATAATATGTTAAGGAAATAGATCCAAATTTTAGTTTCATATTCTATACAGTTGACCATCTGTTCTAGTTTAATTTGACAATTCTATTATTTTGATAATAATAATTGTCTGCTCTCCTCCCTCCAGAATGCTTCCAGGATATTGAAGTTTTAAGCTGAGATGTTGTAAGGAGACCATTGAACACTCCATCTTCCAACTTATTCCTCCCTATCTTCTGGACTTTGGAGAATGAGAGAATTTAACAAATACATTTCCATGGCTGTCAGTCTCTAAAATCCTGTACCCAAACAATAGGAAAGGCTTTCCTTTACCAATTCACTGTCACCGTCTAGTTTTATGATAATGTCACCCAAGAGCCTTGAAAGTGCACATGGACTTTTATAAAGTGAGCATGTGTGTAAGTACACACCCAACACACATACCACCCAAACACACAACTACTCTACAATTTAGCCATATCTCAGTTCATGAATTCTGGCCTTTGGGAGCTTCTTTGGATTAAATACATGAGATTGTGATACACCAAAGATCTTGACTAACATACTTTCATGCAAACAATGTGAACTTCTTTTTTTTTTCTGACATCAACCCCATCTTACATGGGGTTCACGTATGAACCATATAGGTTATGTGAAAGTGTGAAGTACTTACATGGCATATGATATGGAACTATATGGTGTTTGTTCTGTTTGTCAGACACCAACTATGTGTCCGATAGTTAAGATAAACTATCTAGGCACACTGACCTGGTCATGTAGTTGTTGAACACTGGCTTACCCCACCCACTGCTCCATGGAAGAAGTGGAGTCTGCTTCTTAAAGATGTTTAACCTTTTAATCCCTATAGGGCAGTTCTACTCAATGCAATGAGTTCTGGTTTTGCTAGGCAATCTAGAAAATTATCCAACTTAATCCTAAAAGTGATCCTATTTGATAGACAGATAGATAGTTTTAATTCCATTCGATGGATAATGTGATCATAGCCTACTAAAAACCTACTACAAATCTACTTCTAGCTGGAAAGTGACAGAGCTGGAATTTAAATCAATTTCTGGCTCTAAAACTCATGATGTTGTTCCTCAAAAGCCGTCTCTGGGAGAAAGATTCATCTTTCTCTCACTTTCTCCTTTGGGCTGGGGATGGGGCAGGGAATGTCAAAAGAACAAACCGTCATGACGATCTATTTTATTTCAAGAAAAGGTTCTTGCAATAATCCAGAAGTAATAGACTGTGTGGGATCTAATCATGGATGTGACACATAGAACTCAAGTGTGGTGGCATTGTGGTTATTTACTCACATTTCTTCTACTTCAGAGGGTCATCTTATTCCTCAATACAAATAAAGAGAACAAACCAAAAAGCTTCAAGTCCTCTCCAGTCGCAGTGTGGCATCTTTGATGAGCCATAATTAAGTTATCATGGCTGTTTTTGAAGGTTAAGTTTCAGAAGAATCAATGCTGCAGCATCCTTTTCCCCAAAGTCAATATTTAATTTCACGTTCTTGCCATTTCGTCTGCTGACTGATGGTGCTAATGCATAGGTTCTCTAGTTGCTGAATCTGGAAGCTAATTTTACTAGCTATTATATAGGCAAGTCAATAAGTACACAGCACTGCTTAGATCACTCTGTGAAGAAATTGGCATGTCCTACAAAGTCACTAACCAGTATGGATATTTCAGCGAAAATTTTTTCACATAATACAAAAATAAAAACAGATATTTAATCTTTTATGTGTAAAAAATCTTACTTTTAACCATTTTTGTTGTCATTCTACCCAAACCCATTTCCATTAAGTCAATTCCAATTGATGTTATTGTTGGTAGATATCTACAGGTTCTATAGAATCACCTCTAAATCACAGGGATCCTTTATACAGCAGAAGGAGCCACCACCTCATCCTGCATCATTAATTGTTCTGTTTGAGCCCACGGTTGCTCCATCTGCGTCAATCCATCTCGTTAAGGGCCTTCCTCTCTTTTGCTGCCCCTCTACCTTACCAAGCTTCCTTCTCCAGGACTCGTCTCTCCTGATAACGTGCACAAAGTACATGCGATGAAGTGTTGCCATCCTGAGTCTAAGGAGTATTCTGGCTATCCCTCTTCAAGACAGAGTTGTCTGTTCTTTGACAGCTCATGCTACATTCATTATTTGTCACCAACAGCATAATTCAAATGCGTCAAATTTCTTCAGTCTACCATATTCAACATCTAACTTTCACATGTACACAAGGAGATTGAAAACGCCATGGCTTGGGTCATAGTGACACCATGCAATAGAGTAAAACAACACCATAGAATTTCTAGGACTGAAACATTTATGGAATCCAAGTGCCACAGCTTTCTTCCGTGGAGCAACTGGCAGGTTCAAATGTACCTACCAGCTTAAAGTCAATGGCTGTAACCATTGTAGCACCATTGGCCTTTGTTTTCATTAGCATGCTTAATTTGAAGAAGACTTAAAACTCAACTAGCTGAACTTTCTCCTCTCTGCCCAAATCTCATCAAGGCTATGCGCGGAAGTGGAGGGCAATTCCCAGCAGCACTTCTTTGAGGTTGATGTTGCTTATGCCTTGGGCAAGATAATTTGATTCTTTGCATTAGTGTCTCATTTGTCATTTGAGGATTATAATACTTGATTGCTAAAGATTTTGTGAGTATTCAACAAAGAATTCACAAGAAATCTCAGAAGAGTACTTTAATACAAAGGAGCATATGACAAAAACAAATGAAAAAATAAGTGAGTCTACTGTCTTTGAGTGGATTCTGACTGTTAGTGATCACATAGGACAGAGTGAAACTGCTCCATAGGGCTCTGAGACATGAATCTGTACAGGAACAGGCAGCCTTTATCTTTCTGCTGGAAAGTGGCTGCTGGATTTGAACCACTGCCCTTGTGGTTAGCAGTCCAACATTTAACTCATTCTATTACCGTGTACTCCTTGGAGTATATGATTAATTCAGAAAATGATTGCTATTATTCTTATTTCTTTATTAATACTGCTGATAAAATTACCTACATGCTCTGATTACGAAAGGAGCATATTGGATATAATGGCCTTCTTCTAAGTTGACAGGTGAATTTTGTTGCTGTTCCTTGGTCCCCAGCCCTTACACATAATCTTGAATTCACACATTTGAAATCACACAGGTTGCTTTACTGCAGGGCCTCCTAGAGCATTCAGTAAGCTAATGTATGCTGTGCCTGGATATCTGACTGCTGAGGAGGGAGATAGCTTGCACCATTTTCCAGACATCTCTGACCTTGGAGTTGTTTTTTCATTTGTTTGTTTTGAGCATTTCCCGGGATTATATTCTCCTAGACACTTTGTAATATTTAAAATTAAAACATTGGAAAAGTCTTTCTTTTAGGAACTGAAAGCTGCTTCCTTCCTGTCTATCCAACACGACTCACAAACATACCAGGTGAGTGTGGAGTGGTTTTGTGCACATGAAATTAAAAACTTGACTCCATGTCTTGCACCGGTGGTACTCAATCTTCCCATAGATAAAGTCTGAATACAAGAGTAGTTCCATTATATTCGATAGAGCAAAACTATTTGGGCAATCAAATAGGGCAATCACAGCTGCATCTTTACACAGTCAAAGCTAGGAGGCCACTATACAAATAAAAAAAGAGGATGCTCTGTCTTCCAGTCCCACATCTGCTCCTATGTAGACAAAAGAACTATCAGGTGACCTACTGCCTACGTCTTTGTTCTCTGATCCTGCAATGGAGACACAGTTGACTATTGACAACATGGGTTTGAACTCCATGGGCCAACCTATTCAAGTTTTTGTTTTGTTTTCAGTTACTATTGTAGGGAGCTCAAGCATTCAAGTAGCATTAAGAATACCCTAATAGCAACAGGAAAAACAAATCTACATATGTTGGGGCCGGCCCTCTTGCTCAAGGGTCATCAACAGTCACTGGAATTCCTGCAGCCATGGACATGATCAAATGCCTTGGGGGTTGGGTGTTGGGTGTTGAGCTCCTAACAGCAAGCTCAGGAGCTGTAAACCACCAGCTTTTTCAAGGGAGAAGGACAAGGCTTTCTTCTCTCATCAAGAGCCACATCTCCAGAGACCTAAAGGGGCAGTTCGACTCTGTCCTATAGGCTTACTACTAAATGGTAGTGGGCCTGATATCAATGAATCAGAGCATTTGGACTTTGGAGGAGGAAGCAAAGCTTTAGAAAGAGAGTAGGGGAAAGATGCTATTTTAGGGTTGTTTTTTTTTTCTGTTTTTCCCTCTTTCATTACCTGCACAACGCCCCCCATGAGGGATGCAGCCACAGCCATTGAGGTACACATTGCACCAAACAAGAGACCTGAAAGAAACAAAATGTGTAACTATCACCTAGGCTTGCTCTGAGGGATTTCTTGAGCCCCCACTCAGACCAATCCCTAATGCAAGAATGGATCTCTGCTAACGGTCATCCCCAGCCAGCACGAATCACCACTGAGTCTCAGAAGGTCTCTCAAGGATGTGCTTGTCCAGAGAAGGTCAAATAACTGTAAGCTAGACTCAGGTTTTCGCTCCCGAATTCAAGAAGAAACCCATCACATGGAAGCACCATGACTTCTGGAAACGCTCTCAATCTAAACCAAGGAAACATTCCAGTTCTCCCAGCAACTCACCGGACACAGAAGATACCAACTTCACTCGGATTCAGATAGCTTGTCAATATTCAAAATGGATAAATTAAACCTACACATGCTGCCTTGTAAGTTTTACAAGTCTGGATTTTCTTTCCCCTCAACACACTGGTTGTGCCACTGCTGTGGTTCTTAGTGGATTGCATAATCACTTATTCATTTACATATCTGGTGAAGGACCCGGGGGCCATCAGTGTCATGGTCTGAAGCACCTTCCACTGTACCTCTAGCATCTTCCGAGCTCATGGAATGAATCTGTGTGGGCTCCTTCTCCTTCTTAAAACACCTTCTAAATTATCTTAAAAATGCATCGCTTTTATTGTATATAAAAAACACCTATGAGTTTAATGAATTTTCAGTCTATGTTATAAACTATAGATGAAAAAGGAAGAGGCAAATGAAAAAGAGATACAGTGACAGAAGTGAAGAAAAAAGATTTTCACTATTCTTTAAACCTTCTCCCTCTGGTGTATATATATTATTCAAAGACTACACATATTTTTCACCTTACTTACATTTCCTATAAGAAGAACATTAATATATAATTTGTTTAAACTTTAAAAGTAAGCTTCTCAAGACCAGAATTTAATATAAGAAGTATCAGTGATGACAAACACTATGCTACTATGTTATTAGGCAAGCAGCAAGCATTCACTGGGAGACGGTGACAGAAAATATGATAATAAGGAATCCCTTTTGTTTTAGTTTAGTTTACTTTAGGAATCCCACTTAAAGGAATTTGACTTTTATTAGACCAAGTTACTAATCATAGTGAACAGAAAGTCTCCCCAGGCAGAGGAATGGACAAATCTGGAGCTACACATAGTGTCAAGGGGTGTGTATGTAATGCATTTCGAGGATAGTGAGAACATGGAATAGTATCAAAAATACAGACAATGACATGGGAGTGAACTGATCATTCTCCCTGGGTGGTCCCCTTGCACCTTTGTAAGTGTGAGAATCTAGATAGTAGCTTATTTCATGTATCTCAGTGTGTCCTGAATAGCATTTGCAGTCTGGTTGCATGAGCAGTTCATGATATGGAACAGAAGTCCCACTGACTGTACCTACATAAGCCTTTACTGATCCAGGTGCTCAGTTTGTCGGAGAGGTGGGGGAAACAGCTCTTGACAAAATCCTCGAAGGTCACCGTTGCTAAAGCATTGATGCTGGCAGCCACCGTGCTAGAAGGAAAGACAAGAAAGAGCACAGTCCAAGTTAAATAAAGGGAGGCCCCCAGCCTGCTCTGTCCTCTAGGACAAGTAGTTCCCAGCAGGACTCTGGGAAACAGATGCAGATCGGTGCCTCTTCTGGGAGTCCAGGGGACTTGCGTGCCTTGTTGGCTTACTCACATCAAGGCTAGCTTCCTGATGCCTTTCAATTCTGCCACAAACAGCCCTGACGCTAGCCAACAGCGGCGGCTAGAGATTGAGACGAAATCCCGGAAAGAACTGAAGAATGTGCTCAGATTGGACGAGGAAGAAAATAGTGACCATTCCATCCCAAAAGTAAGTACAGTTTGCTATTTATTAATCATCCATTAATTTATTTTTTCACTCTTCTTTGTGTTTATTCTAAGTAATAGACATATACTGATGAATAAGAAATACATAGATTTTTTAAAAATCATTTTGTTGGGGGCTCGTACAACTCTTATTATAATCTATGCATCGATTCAATCAGGCATGTTTGTACCTATGTTGCCTTCATTCTTTTCTAGACATTTACTTTCTATTGAGCCCTTGGTATCAGCTCCTCTTCCTCCCCCGCCCTCTACACCCCCCACCCCCGCCCTCATAACCCCCTGATAGATTGTACATCGTTATTATTTTCATCTCTCGCACCAACCTCTGTCTTCCTTCCCCCATGTTTTCTGTTGTTCTTCCCCCTGTAGAGAGGTGTATGGTTATGTGTCGATCATTGCAACCTCCTTCTCCCCCACCGCCCTCATAACCCCCTGATAGATTGTACATCGTTATTATTTTCATCTCTCGCACCAACCTCTGTCTTCCTTCCCCCATGTGTTCTGTGGTTCTTCCCCCTGTAGAGGGGTGTATGGTTATGTGTCAATCATTGCAATTGGTACCCCTTTCTCCTTTCCTCCCCCACTCTTCTCCCTATCCTTCTGGTATTACTATTCCCACTCCTGTTCTGGATTCTGTGTGTCATAAGCTCCCATCTCTTAGGTGTACCTGTGTACGTGTTCTCGTATAGTCTGAATTGAGAAGCAGCACTGGGGTCATGGTAGTGGGTGGGTGAGGAAGTCTCAAGGAACCAGAGGAATATAGTGTGTTTCATCGATGTTTTACTGTACCCTGGTGACTCATCCTTTCCCTGTGGCCCCTCTGTGGGAAGATGTTCAGCTGTCTACAGATGGGTTTTAGATCTCTGCTCCAGCCCCCCTCGTTCTCAACCAATATGTTTTTGTTTGTTATGTGTCTGGAGGCCAGACTTTTGATAACTAACTGTAAATTTTATCATGCTTGTGAAAATTTTTACAAGCAATTCCTAAGTTTCTATTAGAACAAGGCCTACAGAGACTTCAACTGAACTTGGGAGATTTACGGAGATCCTTCTCTAGGAAGGTCCCAGGCATGGACAGAAACCATGCGTAATGAAAAAAAGATGATTTAGGAAGAAGGGAAAATTAATTTATAGAACCCTCAATAGGGAAAGGAATGTGTTGGATGTGACAACCTGAAGGAAGACAAATGTGGTTGTAATGCAGTGAGTGAGCAAGAGTTAACACTGGAAGATGCAAAACCCAACATGAAATAAACTCGCTGATGCTCATTTCAGCTTTCCAGAGAGCATTCTCGTAGTTTGAAAACTCAGTGACAGAATAGTTAGTGGTTTGGGTTTTTTTTGAAAAATAACAGAAAATCCCGTTCTGTTTGGGACTAACCAGCAATATTTTAGCTAGTATGACTACATTCAATTCATGTGCTGCCACATCCATCTACAAATAAAAGCTTCTGAAAAATAAACAAGTTAATGAATAAAGCATGACTAGCCATTAAAAGGTATTTCATTAATAATAATTAACTAATTGTTTATTATTAACTAATGGTTTTTAGTATCCTTTAGAGCTCACATGAAGACAAGAAGTAAGAAGACAGCGGATGGTGTAAAATATGAAAAAAAGAGTAATTTATACATTATTAAGGGTTCACGAGGGTGGAAGGGTAGGGGAGGGAGGCGAAAAAGATGAGCTGTTATCAAGGGCTCAAGTAGAAAGAAAATGTTTTGGAACTGATGATGGCAACACGTGTATACATGTGCTTGATACAATTGATGTTTGGATTGTTATAAGAGCTGCAATAGCCCCAAGATAATGACTTATTTTTTTAAAAAAGAGTGCATAGAAAGAAGTAACTTTTAAAAAAAATTTACTGTAATGCAGGATGAGTCCATAATTGAAACTTAATTTAGGTAACTTCAGTTGGAATAGTTGCAGCTCTATCAGATTTTGTGCATCGCCTCATCAAATGACAAATTTAATAAGTAGAAACTTCTCTTGTCCTAATTATGGGAATTTGGACAATAAGTATGTGAGTACTATTCCATCTTCCTAAGAATCAATTCACAGGAGGTGTTCCTTGACAGGCTGCCTTTCTAGTTTCGGTTCCAAACCAAGTAAGGAAGAGGAGAAGATACAATAACAGGAACCTCTGTTCCCCGGACAGCCGTGTGTAAACATGAATAATGTGAAAGTTCCAAACATTAGACTTGACTCTTGAACTATATGGGAAGGAGCAGGTACTTGAATGTGATTCAGAAGGATCTGATTTTTTAAATCTCTACTGGGAATGTTCACAGTATAGTGTGCCCATGTCAGTTCTTCACATTTAAATCTGCTACAAAATACTGGAAATCTCCCCCACCCCCTCCCTAAACTCAACTTCAAAGCCTTGCCATTCTGCCAACATTCCTCGCCTTCCCTTGCCCCATGTCCTCCTCAGGACTGCAGCTGGAATGATCTCTTCAAAATATGTGCTGTCTAGTAAGTTCTTTTTTGGGAATTGTTGGCCTTGGAATCAGAAAAGTCATCTATCTTCTTAGGAGGGATTTTTCTATTGACAGTCATAGTGAAAAGTCAGCCATAGATAAATAAGGAAAAAAGCCATGAAGCTATTACAGAGGGACAAAATAAAACACAGTGTCACCCCTACTGTGTATCACCACTGGTGTTCATTTTTCTCTTGAGACCCTGACATCATACTACAGAAAAAAATATCACTTTGTGTTATTGATGCAAAATCCTAGAAAGAACACTAGTAAAGATGATTCACTGGCAAATAAATTAAAATTACACTCAAAGAACGTGAAGGTCATTATTTGAATTCCAGGATGCTGTGATCTTCAAAATACAGCACATTAATATATGAAAAGTTAAAAAAAAAGTGTGTGTGTGCATACATACATAGAGATTCAAAAGTGCCAAAATTTCATTTATTGAAATTTTATATCCTTCCTGATAATGTGCCCTAAAAGTAGAGTAAATGCTTTTTATTCTTAAATTTATTTACAATTGTATTATATTAATTTAATAATATTTATTGTAAATAATATTTTCCAAATCAAAAGTCAATGTCATCTTTAATGGTGAAGCCCAAGAGCCATTTATTTTAAAGTACAAAAAATAATGATTTCTGCTTCAATTATTTATCTTTGTTTTAAAAGCACAAATACAGGAAAACTTAATTTAGCAGTGTAACTATCCTTGAAAAAGATGAAAACTCAATATTATTTGAAGATATTATTTGAGTACAATCAAATTCTAAAGTATGAAGTGAAAAAACAAAGAACTGATAATTAGGACAATTTTATGAAAGCAATGAATATTTACCATTTTAAAAGCTATTAAATTACATCGTTTTAATTTAGTTGTAAACAACTAGATCAGAAAGAGGCCTGAAAATATCCAGAATATACAGGGAAAAAACTAGTATATGATAAAGGTGGCATTTAAAATCAGTAGTAAAAATATTGCCTACAAAAATCATTGTTAATTTATAAGGAAAATCAAGCCAGGGCTTTACTTTACTTCTTCTACCATGTATATAATGGCTGTAGCTCAATGATTATAATATTTAATAGCTGTAAAATACATTAGAATGTTATCTGGATGACTATAGTGATAGAAAAGGTTTCTTAGAATGATATCAACCCAGAAAAGATAATATTAAAAATAATAAATTAAATCTTCAGGGATTTTTATTCCTTTTTCCCCTTTCTGCTGGCTTCCTTTACTTCTGGGAGAGCTCTTGCTATCGGGGACTTCCTCCTGCATGCAGTTGTTTATAAATGCACCCCAATAGATAGTTTGTTGTGCAACTCTTATCTCGTGGTTTTCTTTTGGTTCTTGATCAGCCCCAAATTCCCTCAAACTCACTACACTCCCACCACCACCCTTGCTATTGTCATCATCATCATCAGCAGCAGCAGCAGCAGCTGAGGTCAATATACTAACCTTAGAGTTCCACTGAAGGCACAAGCTACAAAGAGTCCTGGCAGTCCTGGCATCGTGGCAAATATTTCCATGACAAAATAAGGCATCAGCTGAAAAGGGGGAGGGCAATTAATTTCTCAAATATAGGAATGTAGCTTTGTAGGCACATGATATGGGGAGAGGCAAAAATAAATACAAAAGAAAATAATAATATGAGGAGCTTGTATGAACTAAGCCTGTTAGGTACTAGTAATTGAGTTTATTGCCAATTCATTTCAGTGGACCTGAAGTCCAGGTATAGGAGAAAGAAACAGATAATATCACAAGACTGAAATATTTAAAAAGCTTTTCCATGTTTGCAACATGTATCCTTTGCTTGCCTGGGCACTCCACTATTCATAACTAAACCTGTAAAGCCCTAAAAGCTAACCCTTAAAATGTGGCTTCAGGGAACCTAGATAGTGTGGCCCCACTCTTTAGCTAGAAAGTACTTCAGGAAGACAAAGACCCAGTATTAGGTGACCATGGCTATAAATACGCTCATTCCAGTGAGAGAGCCCATACCTGGTCTGGTGCTGAGATAATTCCAGAAGTCCAAGGGTCACAGTCCCTGAAGTGGGAGTACATAATCAGTCCAGAGAACACAGCACACACAAGGATGACCCAGAGACCAAGCAAGTTGAAATACAGGGCCCTAGAAAAGAACAATTGTCATACAAGTTGTCAAGGATTTGGTTTTGCTTAGATCCACAAGCAATGCTCATGGAAGCACAAATCAAGAGATCAATAAACAAGTTACATCAGGTAAATTTGCTGCACAAGACCTCTTTAGAGTACTGAAAAGCAAGGATGTTACTTTGAAGACTAAGGCACACCTGGCATTTTCAATTGCCTCCTATGCATGTGAAAGTTGGACATTAAATAAAGAAGATTTAAGAAGAATTGATCCATTTGAATTGTGGTGCTGGAGAAGGATATTGAAAGTACCATGAGCTGGTAAAAGGACAAACCCATCTGTCTTAAAAGTTCAGCTAGAATGTTCCTCAGAAGCAAGGGTGGCAAGACTTCCTCTCACGAACTTTGGACATGTTCGCAGGGGTGAACCATCCTAGGGGAGAAGCTCATGTCTGGTAAATTAGAGGGGCAGCAAAAAAGAGGAAGACCCTCAAGGAGATGGATCGAGAGTGGCTGTAACAAAGGGCGCAGGACTGGGCCATGCTTCCTTCTGTTGCGCCTGAGGTAGCTCTGGGTTGGAACTGACTGGGTGATATCGAGCAAGAACCACAACTGAAAAGAATACATAGACCTGTTAGTAGCCTCTATAGTATATTATAGTGTTTGGTAAGGTCAGTAACATCAACTCAAGTTAATTTGTGGGGAAGAGTGATTTTTGCTATTAAAATAATATTTTATACCTTTCAAAATCATGATATTTTATACTTTTGTTTTTGTTTTATTTGAAGAATATTAAAGCCTCTTAATAAATTTTAATAAGGCATATTCTACACCAAGTTTCTTTTGTTGTTAAGAGGCTGGGATTTTTTGTTTGTTGGTTGATTTATGTTTTTGTTTTTGTGTTTCCCCAAAGTCCTAATATATATAGCGTGAGGTCTACTTTCTTGGATGAAATTTTATAAATCAATTACACATATCCTATAACTTCTAGTGATTTTTTTACTTAATTGAACCCTGAAACTGTCAGAATGTCAACAACATTTTAACAGATTTTCTTTTAGAGGGATAATGAGATAAACACAGAAGTAGACATGTTTTGGAATATTCACTTTGGAGATTAATTGAGATGAAAGTTAAAAAAAACCTAGTACTTTAAAGACAATAGAATATAATATGGAAAAATTATTTTATCCATATAATTTAGAGCAACTATTTATATGCCTCAAAATATGGTTAACCTTCATTCTAGTTTGGACATTTTTACTGGCTCCTCTGATTATCTAATATTCATTATTATTTATAAAAGCGAATATCTTAATTATTGCATAATTCCAGGGAAGGCTTGAAAGTATACTGACCTTACATCATTTGTCTTCAAAAATAAAAATATCATGTGGAAATAATTACGGGGGGTGGGGCAGAAAAATAACATTTGACATTTCGTTGTTTGAAAAGAATTATAGAGGATTCATATGAATCCACATTTAAATGTAAGAACATTCATTTCAAAGCTGGCCCATATACTGTATTGGTGTATTTGACTTTCAGAAAGCCCTTAAATCAAAGTCTTTGTTCATAAAGTATATCCGTTAGACAATTGTCTCATTAGCAGGATTTCATTTTACATTTTAGATTTTTTTTCGTATCAGAGTTAGCTTTTCGCTATCCAGCTTCATTATTGTTCTTTGATGTCAAGTTCGTTCTGACTCACAGAGATCCTGTTTCTACACCATCCTTACTATCCTTGTCATTTTGAGCCTATGGCAGCAACCACCCTGCCAATACACATCCCTGAGAATCTTCCTCCTTTTTGAATAGCCTCTACTTGACCAAGCATGGTGTACTTTTCCAAGGTCTAGTTTCTTCTGATAACATGTCCAAACTGCAAGCGAGAAAGTCTCCTTATTTTCGCGTCGAGGTGCCTAATGGCTCTTTCAAGACAGATTTGTTTCTTTTTTCCAGACATTTCATGATATTTTCAATATTCTTTACCAGCAGCGTGATTCAAATGCATTCCAAAGACTCTGGGAGTATTTTAATAACCTATATTCCATTTTAATAATCTGTCTCATTTTTAATTTTTTAATTTTTGTTAAGAAAGGGTAAATTTAGAGATAGTTTTTTAAAATTACATTTGCTACATAAAATGAGCACTTACTGTAACTTCTCTAGTTGTTCTCTTGTTGACAGTCATTCTGTCAACTATTTAAGTCTTCACATATCTCCTAGTAGCCTCTCTAACCACCCTATCTAAAATAATCATTCACTCATTTCTATTCCTTATCCTACTTGATAACTTTATAGCATTTACCGTGATATAAAGTTGTATTATGTGTTCATTTGTTTAGTATTTGTTTCCCTCCTCAAAAGTACTATGTCCCAAAGGCCCACAATAATGCTGCCATTATATGGATGTGAAATTATTTTAGTTTTCGTAATAAACTGAATGAGTGGGTGATAAAAATCCATTATATTAGGATTGCACTCTTTACATTCTTTTTTAAGATCACTGAAGTTAAGAGTCAAAGCACTTTATTCTTGATGCTCATGACATTGAGCTCATTATACCATATCTAAAAGGAGAGTAAATACTGGCCAATATGAGAATATAAGGGGTTGCACTCTGTGAAAATATGTGCAGGCTATAAAGTCATATAGAGGTTATTCTTACATCCTCCCACTCCATTTTAAAGGTTCACCGATTAACCACAGAAAGTAAACCAATAGGAAGAGTGTATAGACTCTTAAAGTCATGGTGTTTGTGCATGTCTTTCTTATTAGGCTTGATTTTTTTAGTTTATGGACTGCATATCATATTTTCAGCTTAGGCCTGTGCATTGGCTAACAGAAAAACTATTGAAAGGGCATCCTGTGTGGGAGAAGATGAAGCTTTCTGCTCAAAAATAAATTTACAGTGTTGGAAACCCTATATAGGGTTGCTACGATTTGGAGTCAAATTAAGGCAGTGGGTGAGGGTTATTCTCGGTGCTATTGGGATGAGCTAACCAGGTCCACCTGCATGGAGATCATATGAAGGGGCGTGCAAAAAATTGAGGAAATTTACAGTCTTTTCATCATTTTTTCCATGAACTTTTTGAAACCCCCTTAGTTTTACTAGGCATAGAGGCAGGTGATAAATAATGAATTGTTATGATTTGATATATGATACAAGATATGGAGAAAGCCATCTCAAGTATTGGAAACAACACTACTGGCTGTGTGTGTAGTGATGCTCATCCTAAGTGGGGGGTGGGCTGGCGATGGGAAGGAACAGGATGCCTTGCTTCTGCTTTTTCAGAACCAATTATTGATTTAAAACAAACTAGAATCTGGATGCCCACTAGCCCACTGTCATGAGCTGACTGGCTCATCAAGAACTCTAAAAGAGACTAGAGTTGCCCCCCTTTGAGTTTCTGAGGCTGTAAATCTGAATGAAAACAGACAGCAGAGTCTTTCCCCCAAGACTGCTAACTGCATTGTTAGCAGCGCAAACCAAGCAGCCTCTCCACTGGAGAAAGAGACGGCCGACTCCTGCAAAGATTTACAGACTCCAAATCCATACATTGGGTCCCTATGTCTTAGAGTAGACTCAATGGCAGTGGAATCTAGAGGGGAGGGTGGGGTGGTAAAAAACAAACAAACAAACAAAACAAAAAAACACCTCAGCTCTTGTGGAGCTCATTTCAAAGTGACTTTGTAAATGATGTTGTGACTCAAACTCAACTCGCTGCCATCAAGTTGACTCCCAACCCATAGTAACCCTGGAAGACAAGGGAGACCTGCTCCTGTCCATTTCCGAAGCTGTAAGTCTTTATGGGAGCAGAAAAGCCATCTTTCCCCCACAGCTTGGCTCTTTGTTTCAAACTGCTGACCTTGGGATTAACAGCCCAATATGTCACCCACTATGCCAACGGTCCCAGGGGCAAGAAGGGGCTGGTTGAAGATTCAGTTGTCCTAGGTGTGTAATCAGCATTCCTGACCATACAATCAAACGTGTTTATAATCAGGCATCCCAGTTTTCACTGCTGGCCGCATTCCACATGAATTTTATGGGTATATTATCACCTATATGGTTTGCATGTCCAAGGAACCCAGTGACATAGGGGATTGTTCATTGGACCGCTAACTGAAAGGTTAGCTTTTTGAAACCGCCAGCCATTCTGTGGAAGAACAGTGAGGTTTTCTGCTCCTGTCAAGAATTGGTTTTGGAAACCCACAAAGGCAGGTCTACGCTATTATCCAGGGTTGCTGTGAGTTGGAATCAATTCAGCGGCAGGGAGTTGGTGTTGAGTTTGGGTTCCAGGGTGTATTTTTCCCAAGTAGCAAAATTTTCATAATCCATGTTGAAATGTTTCAATTGTGTCAAGATCTTAGACAATTGTCAGAGTTAGCACATTGATTACAGATCCCCCCAGGGAAGGTCCATTGATTACAGATCCCCCCAGTGAAGGTCCATCAGCAACTGGTTCTAAGTGACCTTCAGCTATCCCAGAACAGCACCTGCTGCACTCGCTGTGTGACAGAGGAGAGCTCTCTCTCTTTTTCCATCCCATAGCAACATTTTGTCCAATCAGGTGTTCTTGAAACAACCGTACTGGCCATCTGGACTAATGTCTCACACCTGAATTGTATTAAATAAATAATCTTGGCTTCTCCAACATGTCTTTTGTAAAGAGAGTGTTTGTGTATGTCCTCTTATTTGGGCAAGATTATTATTGTAGCCTTGTCCCTCCATAGAAGTGGGGATAAGTGAAGCCAGAAATGGTAGTGTGTGCTCGGGCATTGCTGTAGAGCTCTTTTTTCTGATAATCTCTCCCTTTCTGACAGTTTTCATACCAGTAAATATGCGAACACACGTTCTGAAGGACTATCGTTAATAGAATAGTGTTGACTTTTGCTTAAATTAAAACAACACTTTAAGTGTATAAATATATATATATATATATGTATACATATGTGTGTGTCCTTTATGTATGTATGTGCATGAATGCACATGTTTATGTGTCATATATATATTTGTGTGTGTCTGTGCTTAGCCCCTGAGTAGTACAGTTCTTTGCATTTCACTTCTAGCCTAAAATTGATCTTGCAAACCCACTCAGCAGCAGCCCAAAGGAGGCTCGTGGTCAGTTTCTGTGGAGATGAGAGCCAAGAAAATCCTCTAGAGCAGCGATACTCTTTACACATAGCATTGCCATGAATCAGGACCCCGCTGTTGGCGATGGGTTTGCTTCTCTGGCTTATGTGTGGATGCTTAAGGAAGACTGGTGCTGCTGTGCATTAGGGGTTGGGCTGCTCTGTGCAAACCTGCCAGTCACTCCAGAAACGAGAGCTGGGACTGTCTGCGCCCAGGAAGCTTGGTAGTGTCTGAGCCCCTCGATAGGGTTGCTGTGAGTCAGCATTGATTAGATGGCGGCGAGTGAGCACACATACCTATATTCCCCTCTCCAAAATATGAAGCAAATGCACTGCCTTTGCGCCGAGGGTGACTCATAATGAGCCTAGAGCAGGGAGTAGCATTGCCCTCTGAGTTTCTGAGGCTTAACTCTTTAAGGAGTAGACAGCACAAATTTTCAAAATCCCACTGTTGACCATGTTATTAGCAACCCCATGGCTAACCACTATGGATCCAGATAATAAGTGGTCAGTAAATGGCATAGAAACATAAAAAATGTATCTTGATGAATAACTTACACCTTAGCATGCTTTTCTGTTTTGCAAGAGATGCATCTCTGAATGGTTGACTGATTAACTCCGTAGACCCCAAGCCAGGTAAAAGTTCCTCCCACTGAGATTGTCCAAAAGGTGTGCCTTCTGAGAGGATCGACATCAAAGCTGTGAGACAGAGAGATGTAAATGAACAGAGATATCCCTTTGATGCCCGGGTATTATTTTAGGGGATGAGGTCATTCAATTGAACCTTTATAAAGCATAGAAAAAGTAGAATTGGGCATACTCAAATATATTTAGTCGAGATCCATTTGTTGCTTGCTCTAACACATTGTGCAATCCGCCGGCATGACTGGATCCTTGAATGAGAACTGTTAAGAAGCCCACAACCATGACAACCATCTGAAATGCATCTGTCCACACCACTGCTTTTAATCCTCCCTGAAATGGAGAGAAAGAGCATGAGGATGGAAAGCAAAATCTCCAAATCCTCCAACCACATGCACGTAATCACTGTGAGTATCCATTCATTCAGCAACAACACTGAGCACCGACTATGTGCCAGGCGCTATGCTAAGAATAGGAATTGAATAGTCGGTAAACTAGAAACATTTTTTCTTTAAATTCATAGATAGACTGGGAGAAGCTGATGTTAAACAATAATGCTGTTAGGTGCCATCAAGTCGGCTCTGGCCCATAGTGACACGATGCACAACAGAATGAAGCACTGTGTGACCCTGTGCCAGCCACTGCTTTCCAGTCAATTCTGACTCGGAGCAACTTTATACCACATTAGAACTGAACTATCGAGTTTCCTGGTTTGTAAATCTTTATGAATGCAGATACCACATCTTTATGCCACAAAGCAGCTGGTGACCTTTTGGTTAACACTCACGGAATTTCTGGTTAACAGTTTGAGATGGCCAAATAGTGAAGTGAGCAAAACAGAATTGTAAAAGAATTAATCTAATAACAAAATTCATGCTATTGCAATTCAGGAACAGATTCGTGTGGTTCAAACCTACTCCATTTAGAGTCACCAGGGAAATTTTTAAAAATATATGTATCACTTTGACAATGAAGAAGGACTATAAAAATGGGGGAATGTGGGTTTCTTTGTTTTTTGGAAGGTGGTATTTTTTAACATTGAAAAATAGAATTCTCATCCATTGTTACTCCTTCAGAATGTCAAGAGCATCTGCAGAAAGATGACAGCCTTCATCTTCAACATGAGAAGAAAGAAGACATTGGATTTGTCTAATCATTTCTTTTGTAATTAAAACTAAAACAACGTAGCAATTAGATATTAAAATCCCTGACAGATCATGTTTTTTGTATTGCCTCTTCAGATCATGATCTGGAATAAGTAATCTTTTATATCCTAGTACTTTGTGATGGAAGTTGTTTGTGATGTGAAAACCAAAGGTCAAAGACTTCAGTTTGGGCATTGGGTAGACTGAGTCCTGTGTGTGTATCCACCAAGAAGACTTCTCTGATGACAGCATCTCCATCTGGCAGGACGTGCTATCTAGCCCTCTCTCACACACAGACTCATACCTGCCACCCACACGTTTAATCACTCTGTGCTTTGGTACACCTCAGTAGACAGCAGGAATCACTTATTCTCTGTGATTTCTCCTACTACTTATCTCGTTTATGCAGTATGTCGAAATGATCACTAGAGTAAGGAGGTTAAAATATGAGTAGCATTGTTAAATGAATAAGTCATTTATTCAGTGAAAGAATAATGCCGTTTGATTAGGTAGATAGAAGAGATGAGACATAAATGTGATGAGAAGAATAGGGATGGATTTAGTTCATATAAAGAAGAGAGTCAATATTCACTTATATTCACTCTTTAGGCAAAGGAATATGATAAGAGAAAGATGTCAGTCAATTGTATAAATAAGGATTTTTTAAGAAAATTAATCTGACAGGTATGGAGAGTGGATAGAGCATGAAGAATCTGAAAGAACTGTGGTAGGGTAAGTCTAGTTAATTTTACTTTATTGTGTACTAAACTATACGGAATTTCTTCCAACATCTTTATGTCTAATATTTATCCTACTTTTCTATGCCTTTTCATATCTTATTTTCTTGCTTATATCAATTGAGGCTTTTTTTCCCTACTCATCTATCAATCTACTTTGTTTTATCTTAATAAGTCCCCTTGAAATTCTCCTATGCATTTTAGTTTAGGTTTTAAATTTGAGCACTATCTTAAACTACTCAACATGTCTGTCAGTTTGTTATACAGTGGTGGTTTGGCTGTTCCTTTAAGCACAAGAATTTTAAAATGATTAAGCTCTCTCATATTGAAACATCTACCTAAACAATATCAACAAAAGAAAACCACAGTAAACACCAGTTCCTTTAAACTCACTAATCACATGTATGCTCATTTCCAAGAAAGGTTACTCAACAGAATATAGAAAGTATCAAACAATATCATTAATATTACATGCAAGTAAAATTTTGTTGGCAATAATTCAACAATGGTTGCAGCAATACATCAAGAGGGGGCTTCCAGAAATTCAAGCCAGATTAATAAGAGATCATGGAACAAGGGATATCATTGCTGATGTCATAGGGATCTTGTCTCAAAGCAAATAAAAATATTAATTGTGCATTATTGACTAGGCAAAGGCCTTTGACTCTGTGTAACATAATAAACTATGAGTAACATTGAGAATAATGGGAATTCCAGAACATTCATTGTGCTTATTTAGAATACACACGTGGCACAAGAGGCAGTCATAAGAACAGAAGGGGAAACTGCATTAATTAAAAACAGGAAGGGTATGCTCAGAGTGGTATCCTTTCACCATACTTATTTAATTTGTATTCTGAGAGCTGAACTGACGAAGAAGGATGTAGCATTGTGGTTATAAGAAGGCCTATTAAAACAGATGACATAACTGTACTTGTTGAAATGGATGAAACCATGAAGCATTTGCTGATGAAGACCAATGACTGTAGTCTTCAGTATAGACTATAGTTCAATGTAAAAAAATGAAATCTTAGCCACTGGACCAAAAGACTGTTTCATGATAAAGAGAATAAAGATGGATATTGTCAAGGATTTCATTTTATTTGGCTCCACAATCAATGCTTGTGGAAGCAGCCGTCAAGAGATCAAAGAGATGATTCCAGCGGGCGAATCTGCTGCACAGACCTCCTAAAAGTGAAAAAATGCAAAGATGCCCCTTTGAAGGCTAAGGTGCACCTGGACAAAACTACAGTACTGTCAATGGCCCCATATGCATGTGAAAATCGGGCAATGAATAAGAAAAACCAAGGAAGAATTAATGCCTTTGAATTATGGCGTTGTGAAGAATATGGCAAGCACTGTGAACTGCTGGAATAAACAAGTGTATCGGCACAGCCAGATGCTCTGTAGAAGTGAGGGTGGAGAGACAGTGTTCCTCGTGCTTTGGACGTGTTATCAGAGGAGTCCAGTCCCCGGGAAAGGACATCCTGCTTGGTAAAGTAGAAGGTCACCAAAAAAGAGGAAGATGGCCAAAGAGATGTATTGACTCAATGCCTGCAACAAATGGCTTAACCATCCAATTCGTGTGAGTCGAGGGCGGGAGAGGGCAAGGTTTTATCCCATTGTCTGAAGGGTTGGAACCAACTGAATAGAACCTAACAGTCAGGACAATAATGCCTCACCTATCCATCTTGATGCATTCCATTCCATTCTTGATGACGTCCACATGTCTATGTATGCTTCTATGTTCTGTATTTACAGTGTATGTTCCACTTAGGAATGGGCGTTTGCAGCTGTTTCTTCTCATTTCGAGTCAAACCTCATCAGCAAGTGACTGTCCCAATGCCTTTACTCCGTTTCCTTCCTTAATGTTGCCTCTACTTTGAGAAAGCACCTCTTCCTCTGTCATCTTCTGAGTGCCTCGTTTTCCTGACACTCTACCTGACACTGTGTCACTGCTGTCCATAACGGGTTCTGTGGCCAATCCCTCAGAAGTGGACATCTTAGTCCTTCTTAGGAGTCTGTTCTGAGGGTGGAATCTCTGCTGAAACCTGTTTGGCATAGGTGAACCTGATGGTATTAGAAATACAGGTGGATTCCAGCATCCCAGAAATATGCAAACCTCCATGATACAACAAACTGACAGATTAGTGATGGAAAGAAAGGGTGGAGGACTCCCATTGTCCTGAATTGACTCCATCATCAAAGAGAATGTCTATCTTTTTCCTTATATGAACTTCAGTTCTTCTCAGTCATCTCAGCTTAATGTGGGGATCTAAGCTTAGTTGCCACTGGTCCAGTTTAATATATTAGTGGTAGAACTAGTCAGTCTCTGCCCTCAGGGAAACCCAGTTATTTTTGCCCACCTACCACTCAATCTTTTTTAAAAATCAGCCTAAACAATTCACATTTTTAAAAAGTATTATAGTATGCAAAATATTTTGTTACTTTATTTGAGGAATAGGGAAAGGTTGTCTTGAAGATGCACAATATCCTTTATAGTTCCCGTCATTTATCAGGAAGTCATTAAATCTAGTTGATCTTTCATGAATGGGTCCTTTGGAACAACTGATCTTTCATAAGTTGGCAGAGGTAGACAGAGCAGGAGCTATTTGTCAATGTATGTGGGCTCAGATGTGTTCCTGCAGGAGAATTTGGAAGTGAGATTGAGATGGAAAAAGACAAGATAAAACTGCTTTGCAATGGAATGATGATATTTGCAATGTCAAAAATACAAATAAGGCTATTTTATTGTGCATTGTCATGAAATGTGTTTAAAAGTATATAATATGCACATAATCCCAAAATTCCTGGTTAGTCTGCTATGTGGAAAAATGTTAATTGTTTCATTGTTCTCTGTGGAGGAAGAAAGAGATTCTGAATAGTCTGAGAAGCATTGCTCCATACTTAACTGGTTACTTATAGTCTCCAAATGGTGCCAGTGGCCCAGAAGAATAAATATTTTAGTTGCAGGTCCTGGCAAGTAATAGGTGCTCGGTGAGTGTTTGTGGAACTAAACTGGTTGTAACAATTAAGGCAATGTGTTGCCAACACCACCCAGTTTCGTTGGCTGAAAACTGAGCATGAGGAAAGCCAAATAATAAATGTAATCCAGGCTGAGCCATAAAAATTTAAGACAAAAACAAGCTGTGTGTTTCTCAGATTTATAAAATAGTACTCATCTTTTCTCAGACATGCAAGCACCTGGTATTTCTCAACCAGTAGACAGTGAAATATGAACACTGGCTATGATTTATAAATTCTCTTGCCATTGAGTCAATTCCAACTCATAGCGATCTTATAGGACAAAGTATAATTGTTCATAGAGTTTTCAAGTTCATAAAGTTTTGTGGAAGCAGCCTGCCACATCTATCTGCTGAGGAAGGACTGTTGGGTTTGTACCAATGACCTTTCAGTCAACAGCTGAGAGCTTACCCACTGCGCCACCAGGCCTCCTGCCTCTGATTTGTAATCATCAATAATAAGCAACTTTTTCTTCTTCTTCAGTTATCTCTTCAGGTCACGTTTTCTCTGATGGAGATCATATTTCTATTTTTTCCCTCCCCATGGTTTTCTTGAGTATCCTCTGATCCTAAATTCTATGAATGGTTGATATTAACAATAAGTTGAAACAAAACATTAGCGCCTTCCTGTGTAAAACACAGACAAGCCAAAAGACTTCTATTTGATGTCGAAATAGTGATTTCCAGTATAATCACACACTTTTGTGGGAGATTTGCCCTTAGCCCATGTGAGGAGGTGGAGCCAAGTAAGCTTTCACAGCTGGATACATACCAGGGTACAGTAGAAGGTGCAAACAATTCCGGTTGCAAACACTGAGCCCCAGAGATCAAACCCAGTCACTGTGAAAAGAGGAAAAATACAGTGAGCTTCTCTGAGGGCAGTCAAAGAATAAGCTTTATGGGAGAAAGTTATCATGCCTTTTTTGTAGGAAAATGAAAATGAAACCAGAGTTTTACTTTTTACACCTTAAATACTGTCACCTCTGATAAACCTGATTTCATTTTATGATCATATCCCAAACCAATTCACATATTCCATTCTGTTGAAAATCAAATTACCCTACTGTAGCTTCTGTCGCTTCCAATCTTAGTTCTAATTGTCTTCATGGTAGCAACATTTAAAATCACGAATTAACCTTTCTCACTTTAGGCACATAACTCAACAAACGCAACTTTAACTGCCATGAAGTCCATGCCAACTCACAGCAAGCCTATAGGGCATGGTAGAGCTGCTCCTGTGAGTTTCCAAGATCAAGCCCCCACAATCTGATGAATTCAGATTGAGTTTCTGTACAGCGGGTGCCATTGTAGCTGTCTTTAGCTTTCTCCCTTTCCTTTTTGTTTCTAGAAATCTATTTTCTTGAAAGTATTAACTATAAACCTTAGAAAAGTGGTTCTCAAACTTCCTAATGCCGCGACCCTTTAATACAGTTCCTCATGTTGTGGTGACCCCTCAACCATAAAGTTATTTCTGTTGATACTTCATAACTGTCATTTTGCTACTGTTTTAAATGGGGCAACCAATGTGAAAGGGTCGTTCAAGCCCCAAAGGGGCCACGACCCACAGGTTGAGAACCACGGCATTAGCGTAATTAGGTAAGCAATGTTCAGTCCTGTACTAAGACTATCATCCTCGTGAACTCAGAACGAATCATATATTCCCGATGGTTGTGAATAGACAGCCCTAAAATGCCATCATTTCAGTGATTAAAAGACAAGCAAATTAAAATCTTGCCATAGAGAGTAAAAATCAAGTAACAAATTGCATGATTTTCATGATGAATCAATTTTCAGAGCTTAGTGTAGTGAGTACTAGAAGAATTCAGAGCACTTAACCATCTTCAATGATGTTTTTATGTGTATTTCTCAAAGGTACGCATTCGGGTATGCAAATGGTGACATGCACCCAACAGAGCGCCCATACTCACCCTGATTGAGGGCCAGCGCAGGAGCATAGACCACCACTCCAGTGTAGAGAATCTGGGGATACACGGGCACGAGGGGAGCTGTGAGGAGGAGGACATGGAAAGGAAAGCATCCTGACACGTTCCCTATGGATTTCCTTCCACACATTCACAGAGCGTGGCACGCACGTCCTTTCCAGGGTTACGTTGATGATCACCACCTCTAATTTGTAGACAGATGTAAGCCTTATTTGGTAGAACAGGACTAGGGATTTAAGACTGCTGTCCATTTTGAGACTGTGTGGATCCAAAAAAAGGCTCCAAGTTAGGTGTTTGAGCCAGCCTTTCTCAACCTCCTCCCTCCATAGGGGACTGCTGCCATAGAATCTCTGCTGACTTCATAAGAGGCTTTACCACACACGCCCCAATTTCACCTGTATGAATGGCAATGGGTTCGGTACTCATGTTATTCCCAGTGGAACCCACCAGGTAGAGTTAGCTGTGAGGACTTTAATAAGATGAATCTGTGGGAAAAACATGGAGCATTACTTTCCTCCAATCCCTTACCCAAATCGGTCAGGAAGTGGGGTTCGATTTAGAGACAGTTACCTTCCAGAAGAAAACACTTATGTTTAGTGGTGAACATGCAAAGGGAGTCCCCACATGTAAGCTTAAGGGGACAAGAAGGCACCCTGGTCCTGAGAGATAGGAGTCTATGGGGACAAATGGGAGTAGACTAGGAAATTACCACCCTTATATAGTTTTTAGCAAAAATGTATATTCCTGGTTTGCCTCAGTAAATTAATATGTTTTTTCAAAAAGGGATACAAAAGATAAAATGCAAACGAACAAAGAAAAGCAGTTATCACTGCAATGCATACTGTAGAGGTCAAATAAAAGTTGAAAATATTTTTTCCTTTTAATTGGGTTTAAGGGAATATTTCCCCTCTTAATACAAACAAAAACAAAGCGAACAAAGAGCCACACACAAAAAAAAGCCAAATCTGTGCCCCATAGCTCCACTTTTTCCACAGTTACAGGAGTCCTTCCTTGTCCCTTACCGTCTGCACAATGTAGATGGCGGTTGCTGCATAGCGAACTGGTTTGTTGAATCGTAGTTGTAAGTACTGGAAAAACAGGAAAAATTGCATCCAAAGAGTCAGTGATTTTTAGATAAACACTGTTCAGGGGTTCTCTTTTACTTGGCATTAATGGTACTTTGGATTCATAACATGATTTTTTTTTTCTTTGCAAGACTATTTTGCTACCCCTTCAGGATGCTAGCCATAAACCTCCCCGGACTCTTCCACTTTCGTTGCTGGCTCCTACTCCTCCTCTGGGTTCAATAATGTTAGAACAGCTCATGGAACTCACAGAAAGGACAATATTTAAGATGACATCAACATATGGAATTATTGCATCAACTGGTCTGGACATAACAGTCAATGTGGAACTTCCATAACCGGAAGAGAATGACTCACCCTCCCTTTGGCAACAAGACCTCTCTGTTATTGCTCTCAAACATTGCATTATATGGATTTTATATTATATATCCTTAGAAAAGAACCCTTAGGTAGTGTAAATAGTAAATAAGGGCTTGACTATTATCTTCCCCCCACCACCACCAAAATGAGACTTCTGAGGCTGTAAATCTTTGTAGGAACAGATAGATAGCTGCACCTTTCTCTCACATAGTGGTAAGTTTACATTTCTGATCTTGTAATCAGCAGTCCGATACTTACTTAGTGCCACCACTGGGACTCCTCAGGGCTATCTTAATAGAAAGGCCTGGCAATCTACTTCTGAAACATAGCCTTGCAAACTCTATGGGGAAAGGTCCACTTCACCATCTATGGAGGCAGCAGGAATTGGACTCAACTCAATGGCAACTGGCATGATTTTGGCTTAATTTGTTTTAGTCTTGGAAGCAGTTGAAATTTTTTTAATCATGAATTTTTAAAAGTCAAAGGTTTATCAAAGGTCACTTCTTGTTCCTACTTCACATGATTGTCAGAGGAGATAAATGTGTTGCTTAAGTGAAAATCTTGGCCTGATGGTTTTCTGTTCTAGCGTCTTCCTACTTTACACACAGAAACCATCGCTTTCTTTGTATCCATATTCTCTCTCCCAAGTGAGATCTCTCTTTCCTGGATGACTGCAGTCACCCCGAACTTTTCTTTATATTTCAAGCATTCCATTTTCCATTTCATCAGCCACATATCTGTCATGGGGATTTTCCTAAACCCAGGCTCGTCTCACACCAACGTTAGTGACTCTATGGTCGACAAATTGAAGTACATATGACTTGACTTGATATTCTAGATCTTTTGTCTGACTGACATTGTTCCTACCAAAAATCATACCAGTAATATATCTGTTAGTTTCCTGTGGTGGCTTGCATGCTGCTAAGATGCTGTGACTTTACATATCAGCTGGGGAACCCATGGAGGAGGTGTTCAGTGGAGCTTCCTGACTAGACAGACTAGGAAGAAATGCCTGGCAATCAGCTTTAGAAACTCAGCCAATGAGAAACCTACGGATTACAGCAGAACAGTGTCTAAACATACCACCGATCCCGAAAATGGCAAAGACATATTTCATTGCATTAAACAACAACAGAATAGCCTTGGAACCAACCTGATGGTAACAGTAGTGCATTACATAATTATTCGCCAAATAGAATTTATGCTTATGGTTCAACCAACATGTTTTTCCCTTTTTAGACGACCTTTTCTTTATTTAGATAGATGTTCGATATGAGAGAACTTAAAATAAAAATTCTTGTTTTTAAATAGTCTCTTTTAAAAGGATAGCTTAATTGCCATTTCCTTGAAAATATCTAAGAATGATTTCTCCTCTGAGTTCCTACAATATTTGGTGGCGCTGTCAATTCCCACCCAAAGCGATCTGACGCAGCACAGCAGGTCAAAACACTTCCTGGTCTTGTGCTATCTTCACCACAAGTCCAATGTCTGAGCCCATGGATGCAGCCACTGTGTCCATCCATCCCCTGGAGGGCCTTCCTCTTTGGGGCTGCCCTTCTACTTCACCAAGCATGATGTCCTTTCCAGGGACTGATCTCTCCTGAAAATACACCCAAAGTATGTGAGATGGAGTCTTGTCATCTTCGTTTTTAAGAAACAATTTGGCTGTACTTCTTCTAAGACAATTTTTTTTCCTCTTGGAAATTCATGGTACTTTCAGTATTCTTCACTAGTACCATAATTCAGATGCATTGATTCCCTTAGGTCTTTCTTATTCAATGTCTAAATTTCACAGGTATATGATGCTGTTGAAAAACCATAGCTTGTGTCAGGTACACACTTAATCCTCGAAGTAGCGTCTTTGCTATTCAACCCTGTAAATGGGCCTTGTGCAACAAGTTTACACAGTGAGACTGGTCTTTTTGATCTCTTGGCTGCTGCTTCCATGAGCATGTAGATCCAAGCAAGACAAACTCCTTGACAAATTCAGTCTTTTCTCCATTTATCATGATGCTACCTATTGGTTGATTTGTGGAAATTGTGGTCTTCTTTATATTCATTCATAATCCATATGGAAGCCTGGAATCTTTGATCTTCATCAGCAAGTGCTACAAGTCCTCCTCACTTTCAGCAAGCAAGATTGTGTCACCTGCATATCACAGGTTATTAATAAAGCTCCTTGCAATCTTGATGCTCCATTCTTCTTCATATAATCCAGTTTCTCTGATAATTTGCTCAGCATATTTTAGCGTATATTACCACATTAATTTCCTATGACTATTGTAATAAATTATAACCAATTGAAAAGCTAAAACAATTGACTTTATCCTCTCACAGTTCAGAAGTTAAGCATTCAAAACCAATATCACTTGATCAGACACCAAGGTAGTTTCTTTCTTTATTTTTAATAAATCATTTTATTGGGGGCTCTTACAGCTCTTATAACAATCTATACATCAGTTGTATCAAGCACATTTGGACGTATGTTGCCATCATCATTTTCAAAACATTCCATTTTCTTTCTACTTGATCCATTGGTATCAGCTCCTTTTTTTCACTCCCTCTCCCACCCTTCCATCCTCATGAACCCTTATAAATTATTATTATTATGAATTATTATTATTATTTTCATTTCTTACAATATCCGCCATCTCCCTTTACCCATGTTTCTGTTGTTCATCCCCTGGGGTGGGGGTGGGGGGTATATGTCGATCATTGTGATCGGTTCCCCCTTTCTCCGCATTCTCCCCACCACCTTCCCCCTACCCTCATGGTATCACTACTCCCATTACTGTTCCTGAGGTGTTTATCTGTCCTGGATTCTGTGTGTTGAGAGCTCTAATCTGTACCAGTGTACATGCTCTGGTATAGCCAGATTTGTAAGGTAGAACTGGGATCATAATAGTGGACAGAAAGAAGCATTCAAGAACTAGAGGAATGTTGTGTACTTCTTTGGTGCTATACTGCACTCTAGCTGACTCGTCCATTCCTTGTGACCCTTCTGTGAGGAGATGTCCATTTGTCTACAGATGCGCTTTGGGTTTCTACTCTGACCGCTGTCATCCACATCAATATGATCATTTGTTTTCTGTTTTCTGTTGCTTGATACATGATCCTGTTGATACCTTGGGATCATAGAAGCTGGTGTGCTTCTTCTATGTTGGCTTTGTTGCTTCCCTGTTAGCTGACCACTTGTTTAACTTCAAGCCTTTTAGACAGCAGATGCTACATCTTTTAATAGCCAGGCACCAGCAGCTTTCTTCAACACGTTTGCTTATGCACCCATTTTGTCTTCAGATATCCTGTCAGGAAGTTGAGCATCACAGAATGCCAAGTTATTAGAATAGAGTTCTTACATTGAGGGAGAGCTTGAGTAGAGTCCCAATGCCCATCTGCTACCTTAATACTTAACATATAAATATATGTACAGAGACCTATGTCTCTATCACGATATATTAATATATTTACACATGTGTATGCCTATATTTATACCTCTATAAATGCCTTTTGCTTCTTAGGTCTTTCCTCTATTTCCTGTTACTTTCCTCCTGTCCCACTGTCATGTTTGACCTTCATTTGGCTCTCCTTAATTCCTCTTGGCTACATTGCACTTGATTGAGCACCACCAGGCATTCTATGCCCTCCTCACCATCAATTTTAGATCTCTTGTCATTCTCTTGTCCCTGGGTTTGTTGGCTACCCCCTCCCTTTCCCCCACCTCCCCCTCTCCCCAATCCCCCCCAGAAATGTCAGTCCAGTTGTTTTCTCCTCGGGTTGTTAACAATCCTGCTTATCTTATATAAATAGACATGGGGAGAGGAGCGTGGGGGGCCTATGGCTAGTTCTAGGTCTGTCGCTGACTCATAAATGTTTTCTGATCAGGTTTGGTGAGGTGCTATGTCCTGCCCCCCAAGTCAGAAGTCTGTTGGGGGCTTCCTTGGGGATTGTGTTTCTTTGATTCCCTTGCTCCTCTTTTGTGCTCTTTTGTGCTCCTTTGTGTCAGACCCGGCACAATTCCCACACAGCGTCTTCAATGCTGTCCTCTGTGGGTCAGTGAGGGGACATCCTGTCCTGTGGTGGGGCAGGCCCTAAGGTCCTCTTTCTGTAACGGCTACTCTGAGCAGGAATGTAGTCCTGGAGACATGGTCGGCCAGCATACAATCTCCCATCTCTCTCTCTCTCTCTTTCTCTCTCTCTCTCTCTTTCTCTCTCTCTCTCTCTCAGTTTGCTCCTGTGTGGTCTTGGGCAGACCCACCATTCTCCCAGGGCTATATCTTCAGTGCTATCCTCTGTAGTGCCTTCTTCGGAGGGGAACAAGGTGCTGGGATTGGAGCCAGCTCCACAGTCCTCTCTGTTAGTTCACTGCTCCATGCCAGTATGTTGTCCTCAAGGCTTGGAACACCAGGATGAGGTCTTTGCCTTTCCTGTGTAGACATAAACAATACAATGCCCTCCCCTTGGGTGGGTTAGTGTCCTCTTTCCCAAAAAAGAAAAGAAAAAACAAGGTATTTTCATGACAATCCTCCCTTGGTAAACTCGAGAAAGTCGTCTGTTTCTTCCATCTGGTAAATTCTGTGGCTCAGAGAATTTCTTGGTTTTTGACTCTGGTTTCTGTTTCTTGGGTCACAGTGCCTTCTTCTTCTGTCTCCCTCATAATGATATGTAAAATTCCATTGCGACTCACTGGATTTATCAAGGATAATATCTCTATCTCAAGAGCCTTAATTTAATCACACCTACAAAAGCATTCTACATTTAAATTTAATCTATTAATTTATTGTTGGATTAGGTTGTCACAGTAACTTTTCAGGTTTTAGAGACTAAGACACAGATAAACTCGGTGGGTAGAGGCACATTTTTCATATAAACCAGTTTTCTAAAATGGGCGTTTTCAAGAATCCGCTTGCATAATGGATGATCATACCAAGCACAGCTGGAGTGTAGTGAAATGCTAGTGATTATAGAAGTCACTGCTTGTCCTGTGCATGCATGACTAAGGGATCAGTTTATCAGCACGCACTGTTCCAGTACAAGTTGATGGAGTCTGAATGCACCTATGATTGTCTCCTTTAGGCCATTTTATCAGCCCTTACAAGCTAGATGTCCTGGGAAACATTACTATTGACCTTTAACCAATGGCTAAATGGGGCTTTCGCTCTAAAAAAAAGAAACATCCAAGCTTTTTGGCCTCTCTGCAGAATAAATCTGGACAAGTCTGCTTATTTTTAGTTTTCCGTGGTTTTGGATTTTCAGTTTAGATCCATTAAATTAAATCAATTCAACTGGTAGGTGTCTGGGTTATAGAAGAAGTCACTCTATACTGCCTCCCTGAATTCCCCGTGGGATGGAACTCTAGTGACACACATTCACTGCCATGGAGTCCGTGCTGACTCATAGTGACCCCTGTGGGTTGTCAAGACTGTGTTTACAGGAAAAGAAAGCCAGTCTTTCTCCCGCAGAACTGCTGGTGGTTTCAAACTTTGGACTATGAGGATCACAGCCCAATGTGCAACGACTATACCACCCGGGTTCCTTGTCCTTGAAAATGGGCTCGTTCATTAGCTACCTTTCCTCCCATGGCCTTGCCATTCGCCTATTACTGCACACATGGATCATTTGCTCTTCACTCAAATCCTTGTCTCAGGATCTACTTCTAGGAGAGCCCAACTATGATCGTGATATTTTTAATAAATATGATACAAATAGCTATTTTTAAAGTGCTACCATTTTGAGGAATGACAAGAAATCTTTTTATATAAAATAAAGAACTCAGGGTAGGCTATCGAGAACAGGACCAAACACAACATACACAGCTAGCAATAGTTTTTAGTTTAATCCTTTAAATTTAGTCAACTCAAGTAGTTGGTCTCTTGATCATATAAACAATCTGTGATTGACTGCTAACCTAAGGTCAAAAGGTTTCATAGGAGAAGGGTTTCCATAAAGATTGTAGTCAAGAAAACCCTCTGAATCAGTGCTGCTGTGTCATCGTTACTCTGAGTCAGAATCTAATAGAAATCAATGGATCGGGGTTGTTATTGATACTTTAGTGAGATAGTATTGAGGAGAAAAAAGTCCTATTGAGAATATGGTGAAATGTTGTTCAGCTCATCTAAAGGTTAGTTGTTAGAACTCATCCAGTGGATCCTGGTAGGATCTTGGTGATCTGCTTCCATAAAGATCACATGACAGAAACCCTATGGGACAATTCCACTCTGCCACACAGGTCATTGTGCTTTGAACTTGACTCCATGACACATAACTACCACCACATTGAGAACAGAGTGTTGGGGAAATTTTTTAAAACACAATTGGATCATGAGTCAAACTTCTTGAATCCTACTTTATGCTTTGTCACAGTCTCGTTCATTGATTTTATCTCTGATATCTCACTTGTAAAACAAAAGACATTATTCCAACTAATTAATACTAGGCTGAGAAAGTTAAATACTTTGTTCATCGTTGGTTTGAACATTAGCCTTTGCTATGAGCAAAAATTAAATTGGGAGTGCAACAGAAAATTCGCTTGCTTCATGCTTGCTATTATAACCATCATGTTGATTAATTGTTTCCAAAGTCCCAAACCTGAACCATCTCAGGAAATAACACTCCTGTTTTCAAGATAGATCAAGCTCTGATAAATTGAGTTTCTCTTCAACTCACTCCACATAAGAGAAAGAAGGAGCCTTTATGGAAATGGAAGTGACATGATGAGACTAATTATAATACTGCCCAAGTAGAGATCATGAGAATGCATAATATTGCAAATGAACTGAGCCAAATTTATAACTAAGGAATGAGAACAATTCCTTGTGCTTTGACATAGAGCAGAACAGTGATAAAGTCACACAGATGGTGTGTCTTCCATCTTGGAATGCCACTGAATATCAAGACATCTAAATTGAGTGGATATTGTGGCAGAGCCACCACTACAAACTCATTGGCTTAAAAATCAAGGATTTTTTATTCCTCACAGTCCAGTTCTAAGGATTCACTGGGTGGTCCTAACAACAAAACTCAGCAATCTCTTTATCAGTCAAACCTTCCTAGTTCATGGAAACACTAGGGTGTATTTTTAAGAACATGAATGATATACATTATCAGAAAGAAAAGCAACAGTAACAGCAACAACAAACATTTGAAATGAAGAGAAAAGAGCCACTGCTCCCTACTAAAAGAGGAAAAAAACAGAGTTAGTTTACCTCGTAAGTGCTGGTGATGCCCGATCTGTAGAACACAGGCAGAAAGAGCTCGGCCGTGAAGATGATGACGAAGGTATAGGCAATGAAGAACAGCAGGAAGGATGCCCCGAACCGGTAAACCTCAGCAGGGCCCCCAAGCACGGTGACAGCAGACATGAAGCTGGCTGTCAGAGACAAAGCCACAGGGCCACAGCTCATTTGTCTACCCCCCACCAGGAATTCCCTGGAAGTTGCCTTCTTCCTCTCTTTGATGGCAAAGAACACTCCGATGCCAGAGGAGATGACGAAGAGGCCTCCGAAGACAACATAATCCCAAACTGCAAAACTCTTCACCTGTGCCCGCTCCATTGCAGAAGTGCGGCACACGTCGACTCCAGCCCGGGCTTCAAGACGAGACGTTTCCAAACGCAGAGTTCGGTACAACAGTGACTTTGATCCGAGGAAATACTCTATGACTAGCTGAAGAAAATGGTGACCGGAGCACTTCTCTTGATTCTCAGATACCAGTTGATACTCAAGGATGATCTCAAACGTGGACGGTAAAGAATAATCTGGGGGTGGTATTAATACTAACAGATAAATAGCTGAAATCAAAAGCTGCTTCCCCTGAGGCACACACCACCGAGAAGGAATTTAGATGTGTTCCCCATTAAGAACCGCTGTGGGGGGAAGGGACTTGACAAATATGCTCTTTTATCTCCCAGGTGTTTCATTTAAGGTTAAACATTACTGGAAATCAGGGAAGTGATACAAACTGAGCAGTTCAGCAGTTTTAATTAGTAAAATGGAGTCTGAAAAGGGGCAATCTCAAATTCAGGGAGTCTTTCTTTTGAGTAAAGAAGTGTGGGAGGTCAGCAGACGTGTATTAGTACCAGGAGGTGGTAGTTCAAATTGTGACTGGCCTAAAACCAGGAGTGTGCTTTGATGTCTTTGACGAATGATTTACCCTTTTTGAAATTCATCTGGAACATGGAAATAATAAGAATGTTGAGGCCTATTGTGATTCTTTAAGTATTTCAAGCCTCTTGAGCCTCCTTTTATTGAGCTATAAATTGAAAGATAATATCTACCTCATTGGTAATTATTTGTGCTTACAGGGTACACCCCTGAGCACACCGGTTGATTCTTTCTTCAGTCTGTTGTTTTTATTAGCTCCACTGACCCATGGGGATCTTCCACTCCTGGTGGAGCCAACTCATGCTGGCTCAGTACAAAAAGAAAGAAAGGGCTTCCCAATCCTGTGTCATCTCCGCATCAGTTGCAGACCAGACCATTGTGATTCGTGGAGTTTTATTGATTGGTTTTCAGAAGTAGATTGCCAGGGTTTTTTTTAAAAAAATCATTTTTTGAGGGCTCATATAACTCATCACAATCCATACATACATCAATTGTATAAAGCACATTTGTACATTCGTTACCCTCATCATTCTCAAAACACTTGCTCTCCACTTAAGCTGCTGGCATCAGCTCCTCATTTTCCCCCTCCCTCCCCGTTCCTCCCTCCATCGTGAACCCTTGATAATTCATAAATTATTATTTTGTCATATCTTATACCATCCGACGTCTCCCTTCACCCGCTTTTCTGTTGTCCATCCTCCAGGGAGGAGGTTATATGTAGATTCCTGTAATCGGTTCCCCCTTTCTAACCCACCTTCCCTCCACCCTCCAGGTATCGCCATTCTCACCACTGGTCCTGAAGGGATCATCCATCCTGGATTCCCTGTGTTTCCAGTTCCTATCTGTACCAGTGCACATCCTCTGGTCTAGTCAGACTTGTAAGGTAGAACTGGCATCATGATAGTGGGGAGGAGGAAGCATTTAGGAACTAGAGGAAAGTTGTATGTTTCATCGTTGCTACACTGCACCCTGACTGGCTCGTCTCCTCCCCGCAACCCTTCTGTAAGGGGATGTCCAGTTGCCTACAGATGGGCTTTGGGTCCCCACTCCACACTCCCCCTTATTCACAACGATATGATTTTTTGTTTGCCAGATATTTTTTATTAGTTCATCTTAGTCTAGAAGTTCCACTGTTTATCATCAGAGGGACACATAAACCTTCATTGGCCAATGAAGTGGCGGTGTACATTGACCAAGAAAAGAATGTGAGATTCCCACATAGAAATTGAGAATTCAACCACTGAACCATTGCTACAGTCCCCTCCTTGACTTTAGACTTCAGAAAATGGGTTAACCAATAATACTTAACTTGTAGTTTGTATCCATGTTGTTGTTAGGTGCCATTAAGTCAGTTCTGACTCATGGTGACCTCGTGCACAGCAGAAGGAAACACTTGCTGGTTCTGCACCATCCCTGCAATTGTTCCTGTGCTTGGGCTCACAGTGGCAGCCACTGTGTTCATCCTTGGCCTTGAAGTCTTTCCTCTTTGTCATTACTCTTCCACTGTCCCAAGCATGATGTCCTTCTCCAGGGACTGGTCTCTCTCTCCTAAAGAGATGTCCCAAATTTGGAAGACAAGTCTCGTCATTCTTGCCTCTAAGGAGCACTCTGGCTATACTTCTTCCGAAACAGATCCGTTTATTCTTTCAGCAGTCCACATACTTCAATATTCTCCAGCACCACAATTCATATGCATTGCCTCTTCTTCAGGCCTCTTTAATCAATGTCCAACTTTCATATGTACATGAGGTAACAAAATACCATGGCTTGTGTCAGGCGCACCCTAGTCTTCAAGGTAACAACCCCCCAAATTAGGACCTGGATAAATGAGAGAAGAGAGTGAAATACAGTCTTCTTTCATCAGATCCCCTGTTACTTGTTTTGAAATCCTTCCAGTAAGCTTTGGGGCATAAACTTACTTTTGCTGTCTGTCCTCGCTCCCCAGACGTCTTGCCCTTTTCAAATCGACCAATTCTATGAGATCTCGTTCAAGGCTTCTTTGCTTTGGGAATCCTTCCCTGACTTGCGTCCTTATGTCTCCAGATCGTGAGGGAAATAGCCCCTACAGGTGGTTCCTTTGTGGTTACACTGTTGTCTGCAACTACCTCTACTTCATTTTGAGGCATCTCTGTTGGGGGGTGTGGGGGTGTGTGAAAGAGTAGGTCAGATATTGTGAGCTGGTCAGCTCATTAAAGATAGAAATACAAGAAATGTCCTATAAATGCTCAGCAAGTGGTAACCATTAAAGAAAACTTATGAAATAACCAAAAAAATGCAGAAAAGGAGAACTAAGTTTAGGCACATGCCTAATGCATTTTCAGAGTAACAGAGGAGACTTTAATGTTCCTTCTAACATCTACAGTATGTACCTCATTAAACCTTTGCTTAGTGATTTCATTTGGACACTGTCTTCCCTCCCTACTTAACCCTATGGATTTTTTTTTTTTTGTGAGCTGAATCTCTGATGGGCAAAATATGCTTTCAGTTATTTCTAAGTATGTCAAGACTATGTTAGGCACTACTGGTGTCTTGTTTAAACTTTTATTTTGCAGAGTTGATATGGAGGATGAATGGAAAACTAGGTCTTTAATATTTTTACCTTAACTTTTAATTATTTATGTCATGAGATATTCTAATTACATAACAGATTTTTGTTTGCAGTGGTCTCAGCAGAAAATTAGACATACGTTTTAGTTTCAGAGTCTTGGTAACTTCATATTTTAATATTAACACAACCTAAGAATTAAAGTTCAATCCAAAAGGCTTGTAAACAGCTTGGACAAGTAGATTTACTGTTGTACAAAGCATCATAATTACTTCAATGAGGTCCAAGGTTAAATACCAGAAGCCTGCAGTTGAGGAGTCAATGAATCCTGCTGCTTTTGATTAGCCTTCACGTGGAAACAGTACCGATCTCCATGATCCTCCTCTCTCCTGGAATGCACACTCCCTAAAGGATTTTGTCTGTTTTGTTTTCTGATATACCCTAAGTAGTTTCTGAGAGTTCCTGTCCTATATTTAATTTATTAAATGAGATCATTCAAACATTAGAAGTTCCTTCCACATTAATAATCTATGTTTAATTCACATTTGCTTGTTTTTCTGGCGAAGGGGAACATAGAAATTCCCCCCCCCCAAAAAAAAACTGGGAACATTTTTTGCAACTTTTTTTTTAAACACTAAAATAGCCATCTATCCTAAACACATTTTTCTTGGATTAATAAAAATTATATTTTACACACTGTAGTATCAGCTTCCCAGAATCCATTTAGCTAAATGTGATCATAGTTAAGCTGTTTTGCATTTGTATTGTATGATATACACCGAACAAATGTGAACAAAAGATGTTGACTCGACCCTTTGGGAGGCAAATTTCAGTGTCCATTAAGAACTCTCAGTGAACATAATTTAATTAAAAAGCAGACTATGGCAGCACAAGTCTAAAGTAAACAAGTAGAGCATTTAAAGGAAAGATCTATGTTAAGAGGGCAACTGGACATGAGGATCAAAGTCCTTCCATAATTATCTCTCAGGTGGTCCCAAGCACCATCACCCAGCCTACCCCCTTTATGGAAAAGCAAAGGGGTAACTACTAAATTATCCAGTATGGAAGAGATTTTGCTGAATACATGTTAAGAGAAACACCTTTTTTTTATTAGGACTCGTAATAAAAGGGTAAGTGGACCTATTGTGTGCCTCATAATTTCTTATGTCCTATCTTATTTTGAAAGGAATCTTTGTGGCATCTTGGGTACGAGTTGGGCTGTGATCCACAAGGTCAACAATTTAAAACTACTAGTGGCTCTGCGGGAGAAAGAAGGGGTTTTCTACTACTGTAAAGAATTACAGTCTCTGAAACCCACAAGGGCCATCCTGTACTGTAGGGGCTATGGGTCAACAGAGGCTCAATGGCTATGAGTTTGGTTTTGTTTTTTCAGTTTATCTTATTTTAAGCCATACATAGCTGTAAAAATCTCTTAAAATTGGTGTCAATGACACCATTTCACAAATGAAGAGAGAAATGATACTTATTGAAGTCAACTGACATTAAGGTCAGTATCATACAGACACTAAATAATGATATTAGAATCAAATATAACATTGGTGACTTCAAAACCTGTTCTCTCTGGACTACATACTTCTTAAAATGGTAGTTTCAACTTATTTTTCCAGCTGTGGTGGAGACTTTTTTAAAGTATCAGAGAATAATCCAGTCGCTCTATCCTAATATGGATCTGAAAATTACTAATCAACATATCTACAGTGATATAAAGCAATAATAACCAAGAATCTCTTGTGTTAACCTTGTAATATTGCCATATTCTCAAGTACATGATAAGTAAACGCATTAGATCTCCATTAAATTCAAATGAGTCTTAATATTATGATATTTATTACTCGGATTATTTGCAAATGCACTCCATGCATAATATTGCTGGTAAGCTAAGATACAATTGTGTCAGTTACCATGGAAACTCTTTAGACACATTTCTTACCAATTCTAGTATTCCTCATGCCACTCCCTCCCCTCATTGTGTGCCACTATGAATGATTTTTTTATGCTCCCTAAACTGAAACTTAGAAAATATTTGCTACCACTAGAAATATACAAATAAATATGTTCTAGCTTCAGGCAAAAAAATGCACTGAGGAACTCCAGCAGATAGATTTTCAAAACTAACTCTTGAAAGCGTGATCTGTGTGATTATGCTTCAAAGTGTTTAGCAATGTGCTAAAGACATTATTGTCATTTATAAGAAAGCAAA